GGCCGGCGCGGAGGGACGGGGCCATCGCGGCGTGACGGGGCCAGCGCGGAGTGACGGGGCCGGCGCGGAATGACGGGGCCGGAGCGGAGTGACGGGGCCGGCGCGGCGTGACGGGGCCGGCGCGGAGGGACGGGGCCAGCGCGGCGTGACGGGGCCAGCGCGGAGTGACGGGGCCAGCGCGGCATGACGGGGCCAGCGCGGCATGACGGGGGGGGGAGTACACTGCGGAAGAGTGAGGAGAAGGCCCGGGCGAAAGGGGCCTGCTTTGAAACCATGTTAAACTAAGGTAGCTAGGAACGGTAGGAAGCCATAGAAATGGCGAGAGGTTTTAGGCTAGGAAAGTTGAGAGAAAAGGGGGGAAGAATAGAAGAGAGAGGCATACAAGGAGGGGGGTTCTACCCTCTACAGTTTGTTGCAATAACACCTACCAAGCCTACCAATTATATAACAAAATATATAATTTAACAGAGACCGCTCCGCAGCAAAACCAAATACCTTTGCTCAGCAAGCTCCAACGGAACCCAAACGCTGCATTGCAAGAAGCTTTCAACATTTTGTTTCCTTCAGCGGCGGCTTGATCGGAATGCATCTCGCTTATCCACGCGCGTGGCCATGTGCGCAGAGCTGCTGGACCCCTGGTTCCCCGGCACCCACTCGCTCACGCTCCTCGTGGACGCCATGGACCGCACTATGCTTCGCCACGCTTTGGCCGCCGACCCGCTTCGTGCTGCGGCGCGCGTCTCTCCTCTGGCACTCGCCGCTGCTCTGCCGGGGAGAGTGCCGTGGAGGGAGATGGAGACGGACGACGCCCTCCACATCCGCATCGACATGTATGGTTGGTCGATCGACCCACCGTGATGCCCGTTCAAAGGCGTTTTCTCTCGAGATTCTTGAATAAGAGTCGCACATGCCCTCACCATTGCACACCCTGTGTGGCCCATAGGTTTTTCCAAAGACGAGTTGTCAGTAACAGGGCTTATCTTTCACTTTTCTGAACTCTGATTTTCACCAGTAGCTCATGGGCTAACTCAGAAATCCAGGGTGCCCTGGACCGGAACTCTGTTTTGCCAGGGTTTTTGTGCCTTATCAGAAAAAAAACCCTGTCCGCCTAGAATTTGGAGGAGATATAGAATTTGCCCAGCAAAAAGTATTAAGTCTCACATCCACATGGCACGGTAACAGAGCAGCATCTCATCAATCATCAGCATCATCATCATCATCATCATCATCATCATCATCCTTATATGAACCCTCACTAGCTGCAATCTCCTCATCCGAATCCTCGGCTGCACTCTTGCCTTTGTCGAGGGGAGCCTCATAGGCCACAGTCTTAGCCTGCTTTCGCGTCTTCTGTTTCCTCCAGATGTCAACGATCTCGGCGTAGTCCATGTCGTAGTCCAGCATGTTGATCGTCATGAGTTCGCTCAGCCTTGCATCGCACAAGCTCGTCCGCAGCCACGACTTGATCATGTTCTGTCTGCTGAATCCTCTTTCACACTCCACTGTGCTCAGTGGAAGCACAGCCATGGCCTGCCAGAATGCCATCAGGTTGGGGTAGCTCTTAGGCCAGTCGCGGGTCTTGAGCATGGCAGCCAGCCCCTGGTTGAAGTCATCATCCGCCCGATGGTTCTTCATGATGTGAGCAAAGGACTTGAGCTCCAGCTTGGTCGCCCTTTGGTTCACTCCTAGAATTGGGGTTTGGAATAGAAGCAGAGGACAACGGTTTAGTATCCATCCTAGGGCAAGGCAAACTGACATTTAACAACGAATGATACGGTTGTGTTAACGGAACTACTGACTTACCTGGCAGCTTGTGGTAGAAGAGGGCGACGTTGGATGCGAGCCAGGAGAGATGTCGCCGCTCGCGCACTTCTGCCTTCTTCGGCCAGCACTCAACTTTGAACAGTCCCGCGCCGCCCATCCACTTCAGATCCCACAGCCTCTGCTCCACATTCGCCACCATGTCTTTGGCGAACGCAGAGCAAAGGTCCTCACAGTCCGACATGCTGCCACTTGTGGCCCGGTAGCTTCTTCTCCGAGAGTTCGAATGCGTGCGTGCAGGGACTTCCGTCGTTGTCCATGCCATCGACGACGATGCTGCGCTTGCCGTTGGCGTGCCGCTGCAGGAACTTGGTCAGCCTCTTGCTCATCCCCGCCCCGAATGTCGCACCGTACTCGATGTAACGGTGCCGGATGTAGGTGACCGTGCGGTCAACCTCCTGGGACACCAGGGTGATGTCCACCTGACGGAAGGGGCATATGGCAGGCGGAGGTACAAAATGCAAGGAATTGAACTCACGCACATGACTACCAAGTTAAACACATAGCAAGACCGTACAACAGTGCAACGAGATACGCCAAACAAAAGTACGTCTCGTTAAAGCCACCACTTACAGAGCGCCTCTGAAAGAACCTGTTGAGGGTGTTCATCTCGGCGAGGACGTCAGCGAGGAAGTACAGGTAGTAGTGAAATTTCAGCGTCTTCACAACCGGTGCCAGCTTGTGGTTGTACTCGATGAGGACAACGATCGCCGCTCCGAGAATGCTGCAGAGCCTCTTGATTGCATCGCCACGTGAGAGCCACCGGATAAGGTAGAGTCCTTGATTCTCCAGGTTGGTGTTGTGGATGACCATCTGCAGGTGCTTGAAGCGCTCATACCATGGGGTGGAACGGCCGACAATCTCCCCCAATGCGCGGATGACGGCATCGATGATCTTGAAGTCCAGGAAGGCCGCGGCAGCATCCTTGACAGCCAGGGACTCTCTGCCAACAACAAAAAAAACAGAGAATATCAGCAACAAGGGGCATGTAGGTATGCACGCATGAGCCATTAAAAGCACCCATGGGTGCAACAAACAAACAGCACCTATGGGCGATGCAATGGACGCCCACGAGGTGCAGGATGCGCACTCGTAAGCGAGCCACCAAGCCATGATGCTCGCCTGTCATCACAGAAGCCCCATCCGTACTAATGCCAGAGATCTTCTGGAGATCGATGCCGAGGGTCTCGAGGTGGGAGAGGATGATCGCCTGCAGAGAAGCCGCGTCGCACTTGTCCACGGTCAGCAAAGCTAGGAACTCGGTGACCACTTTCCGCTTCTTCAGAAATGTTGCAAACAGGATCAAGTGCTTCCCGCTCGTCCTGTCGGTGCTTTCGTCACAACTGAGGCTGATGAATGGAGATGCGTGAATATGCGACATCTGTTGCGCCTACAAGAAAGCCACCATGGCTTTCACCATCTCCTTGAAACCGTACCTGAATGGAAGTGAGAAAGGCATGCACAAAACACTGGTGTTAGTAGTTGTTTAAAGAGGATGATCACAAAATTCAAAGGTTATAGGAAAACCCGAAAGAGAAGCAGTACAAGGGGATTAATAAACTTACTGCGTTATGTAGACACCGTAGCTCTGCTTAGGAACGTCCTTCACCCCTTCATGCGCCATGAAGCCCACGAGGGGGGTGAACATGCTGATGGGCGCATCTTCCTTGTAGATGAATAACATGGCGCGGAGTAGCCGAATGATGCGCGCTCCCTCGGGGTCATTCGCAACAAAGTCTTCCATCCTCTTCTGGTTCTCCACTTCTGTCAGCAGGTGTTGTTGCTTCCTCACCGCGTCTTCATGCTCCTGACTCTCCTGGTGGTAGCGCATCGAGCCAACTTGCATATCCCGACCGCCACTGCCCTCATGCCCGTATCTTGCATGCACTGCACCATGCTCCATACAAACACAACAACGCAAGCACGGGATTCCGTCGTCATTTTTATCAAGGACCAGCCATGGGAATTTCGGGAGCCAATCATTGGTGTACTTATGTTGCGCCTTTTCGTATGCCCTCGCCCTCTTCACCGCAACTGTCGGTTTCATTGACGGTGCAGTGACACGCTCCGGCGGTGGCGGAGTGGGGGGCTTAGGAGGAGGCGGTGCAAATGGCAGGTGTGATTGCTCATAGCGGCGCCTCTTCTTCGACGTCACGGCGGCCGATGTAGTCGTGGCGGGAGGAGTAGCAGCACGGGTTGACGTGGCGGGAGGAGTAGCAGCACGGGTTGACGTGGCGGGAGGAGTAGCAGCAAGGGGTGATGTGGCTGGAGGAGTAGCGGCAGGCGTTGATGTGGCGGGACGAGTGGCAATTGGGGTTGTCGTGGCGGGACGAGTGGCAGGCTGGGCCTTGGATGGCGAGTCAACCAGCTCAGTCACCTCGTCCTGTTTGTGCTCCCACTCTTCACTGCTGAGAGATGGGAGGGGGTTCGAGAACACAGGAGCGGCATGTGCACGACGAAGGAAATCGAGGCCTCTGAGGGGAGCGACCCTAACAAAACGCTCAGCGCTGTGGTCGTCCTCCCCCCATCATCCTCGTCATCAGAATTACACATCACGGGCTCTGGTGGGAAAGTGGCTGCAAACAGGACTACCTCAGGGAAGATTGATACGCTCTGGCAGTTGTGAGAGGGGTACTCTCTCTTGCGTGGAACAAGAGAGAGTTGGAGGGGAACTCGGTTTCCTGCAGCAAGCAGCGGAATGGATGGAACGAAGGGAGGGACAAGCTGGTCTTGAGGTGATCGACAATGCACTACGAGCTGTATGGTGCATGCGTGAGTAGCATCATTGCTACCCGCAGCCTAGCGTGCTGTCGATGTGCTGGCTGCTGTACCAAGCCAGGAAATGCCTAAGGCATGCAGCAATCATCCAGCGGTGGCAACTTCAGCTGCCGCACGCGGTTGTGCTGCTGATGCTACGCGAGAAAATGCCCAAGTGTCAGGAAATTTGGGCACTGAGGAATCTTCCAGCGGCAGGAAGTTTGGAAACAAATGGCGAACAGTCAGTGGGCGGCTCGCGTGAAACCACCCAGGAATCCAGGCCACGCGTATGTGTGTCTATAGGGAGTACAGGGAATACCCGGGGGTATGCCCCCTATATGAATACCCACAGGGTGGTACATACACCAACTCTGATAAATCAGAGAAAAGAGAACTTTAAAAAAAATTACCCAGGACCATCAGAGTGACTTCCAAAAACGACTCTGATTTTCAGAGAAACAGAGTGATTTACTCTGATAAAATCAGCCCTGGTCAGTGAAGACTTTGAGGTGCCCTAACGACTCATTAATGACGGTGTGTGTGGCGCGCAGGTTTGTCCGAGGACGTGTCAGTGACGCTGGAGGGAGAGTGTGTTTTATTCACAGGAAGCACAAGGTGCAGAAGCGGGGGGACAGCGAGGGGGAGGACTCCCTGGAGAGGACGGAAGGCGAAGGAGGGGAGAGGACGGGCGGCGAGGGAGGGGAGAAGGATGCCTGGAAAGTCTCCAAGTTCTTCCAGGTACCTTGATTGACGCCCTTGCTTGGCTGCTTTTTCACACCCACTGCTGCGCGCTCGCAAATTGCTGGTCACTGTAGTAGGGCTGTTGGTAGCCACCTGTGCTTCCAAGGGCGTTGCCCCAGAGACCATCATGTAAAGCAAGCGACCCTGATCGCCTATAATTTGATTGCTGTATGGCCGTTGGCTTGCAGGTGACGGTGGTGGTGCCAGAGAACACTTTGAAGGAAGCGATCAGCGCAGCCATGAGCAACGGCATGCTCACTCTCACTCTGCCCAAGCTCAACGCTCCAGAGGAGCCTCCGTCCTCCCCTGTTGACATTCCTGTCGCTTGACGCACGGGAGGAGCGGGGAGGGAATCGCCATCGCCACGGCATCCCATGGGCCTTCAGGATGGCGCTCTAGCTCATGGCTGAGCATGCATTGAGCATGCTTGTAGTGGAGATTGAATGCTGATGACTTGTGTTGTGTGGCTGTTAGTTCCAGGGTTGGATGTGGTAGGAAATTTCTACCTTGCATTTAAAGAAAGTGGACTCCCAAGCTGAAGAGGAACAAGCCCAGTGGGAACCAAAACGAACACTGAGATGCAAGGAGAAAAGCACAAGCAAGCAGCGGAATGGGAGAAGAGAAGAAGCACCTTTTGAAAGAGACAGCCTCAAAACAGAAGGCCAGAGAGAGCAAGAGCAGCACGCGGCTGCCATGGGCAGGAGCAGCCAAGCGCCCGCCTTCTCAGGTTGCAGGTGAAAGCGAAACTCGCGGGTCCGCTTTGCTGCAGCCAGCCCTCCCAGCACTTGCGGACCATGTGGTCGGCTGCTTGCTTGGTGCACCTCAACACACGAAGCAGTGCGTGCCAAGCTGCGTCTCAAGTCTCAGGTCTCAGTGAAAGCGCAGCTGAGCCCGTCTGTCTGCTGCAGCCAGTGCCAGTAGTTGCAGAGCGTACAGCGGGCTGCTCCATGCGTCTCAGAGCGAGTGCGGTAGCTGTGGGCGCCAAACAAGCCTTGGGTCGCATCCGAGCACATCTGTCCGCTGCAGCCACTTCCAGTACTACTTGACTATGCGGCCCTGTGGCTTCCAGGCACCTCATACCATGTACCGGTAAGAAAAGGGCAACATTTCGAAGCTTTCTCACTCGTGGGTTGTGTCGAACGAGCTTTTAAGGAAGTTTGGGAGAGTTGACAGAAGGTGCAGCCGCTGCTCTTGCTGCTGCTGCTGCTGCTGCTGCTGCTGGCGCAGGCATGGAAGGGGCAGCGGAGGGGGCAATGCTGGGTGCAGAGGTGCTACCAGAGGCTGCAGTAGCTGCAGCAGGCCCAGGCTTGTGCTGCTGCTGGTTTGCTGCTGAAAGCACCTGAGGTTTCACCTGAGATTGGACCTCGGGTTGTCCTTTTGGCTTAGTCACTGCTGGCAATGGTGCGGGCGGCGTAGCTTGTCTCACGCTGGGAGCTACAGCAGCCACAGCAGCAGCTGTGGAAGCAGCAGCAGCAGCAGCATGACCGACACCACCATCAGCACCAGCAGCATTAGCTGTTGCAGCTGTACCTGGCGGCCTTGAGTGTGGCAATACTGACTTGGAAACTGCCACGTCTCCTGCCACCATATGAACTCCCGATGATGCAGGCGCTGCTCCCTTGCTTGCACCCCCTTGCCCCACGCCCGTTGCACTGCCCGCACTTCCCCCCTGGCCTGCACTACCTTGTGTGGCTGCATGACCCTGTGAGGCGCCTGCTTGTGTGCCTGCTGGTGTGCCTCCTTGTGGCCCTGCTGCTGCCAGCCCTGATGCAACACTTTGCCCTGCAGTTCTGCTTCCAGCCAATGAGCTCTGGACACCTGGCATGGACGAACCTGCCCCTCTCCCCACTCCCCCCACCCCTCCTCTTCCTCCACCTGAAGCAGCAGAAGCAGAAGCAGAGGAGGCAACTCCTCTTACTCTCCCACTCGGGCCCCCTCCACCCCTCCCTGCCCCCCCCACACCCCCTGCTCCCACACTCCCCCCAGGCCTACCCACACACCCACCGCCAGGCCCGGAACCCGCTGCCGAGCCTGAGCCATACGTATGGGGCGAGCGGGTGATGTGGTGCACCACCACGGGCGCCCCTGCCTTGCCTCCTGCTGCCTGCATGAGAGAGGCAGCAGCTGAGGGAGGGGCGATTCTTGCTCCTGCTGCCACCGCTGCTGCCTGCACTAGTGGGTCCGGGGCCAGAGGTGGGTGCGAGTGAGAGAGGGAGGGATGGGAGGAGTGAGAGGAGGAGAGGGAGGGATGGGAGGAGTGGGGGTGCATGGAGGCACGCCCTAGTGTGCCCATGCCTGGCCTTGGACCCCCGCCCACCCCTCCTCCTCCTCCTCCCACTCCCCCTGCTCCTCCTGCTGAGCCTGACATAGACCCTCTGCCTGCGACTGCTGTGCCACCAGTGCTACCCGCCCCTCTGCCTCTCCCAACCCCCATCCGTCCCATCACACCCCCTCCCACTCCTGTCCGCCCCGCCGCCCCTGCTACAGTTCCTCTGCCGCCCGAAAGCCCACCGGCTGAGAAACCGCCAGCTGTAGCTGATTTGGCAGCATTAGCAACGGCGGCAGCTGTAGCAGCAGCTGTGGAAGTGAATGGGGAGTTTCCTGGAAAGCCCCGGCCTCGGCCCATAGCATTTGCCAGGCGCCTCTGCTGCTGCTGCTGCTGTTGCTGCAGCAACTGCTGCTGCTGCTGCAGGTGCTGCTGGTGCTGCTGCTGCTGGTGCTGTGCCCATGCCTGTGCTGACGTCAGCCTGCCAGTTGTACCCCTCCCATTCGCCCCCCTTCCTGCTGCTCCTCCACCACCCACTCCACGGGCCAATCCTGCGCTGCCACCTGGCACTGCAGGAGACCCGGTTCTATGAGCCCATTGGCTGGATGCTGACGTGGATGGGGGGTACTTAGGGGGGATGGAGGGGTGCATGGTGTGGGGTGTGAGGGAGTGTGTGTGTGTTGGCGGGAGAGAGTGTGTGGTGTGAGTGTAACCACCAGAGAACGTTGGTGCATGCCTAACAGGATTGGAGTGCATATCCGCCTGCCCCTGCCCCTGCACCGGCTGATTCCCCTTCTCCTTCTCCTTCCTCTCCCCCGCAACCCCACCTTCTCCCAAACCACCACTAGAGCCTGCAGGCACTGCTCCCCTCTGCTGCTGCTGTGGCTGCTGCTGCTGCTGCGGCTGCTGCCCTTTCTGCTGCTGCGGCATCGCTGCCCCAGACCCATCTCCAGCCATCCCTCCTGCACCGGCCTCTGCTGCCTTAGCAGCAGCAGCAGCCTCCACTCTAACCGCTGCTTCCTTTGCTGCGGCCGCTGCCTCTGCTTTCGCCGCGGCCTCTTTAGCAGCGGCCTCCCTAGCGGCAGCCTTCTTAGCAGCAGCCTCTCTCGCCGCCGCTTCCTTTGCTGCTGCTTCCTTTGCCGCAGCCTCCCTTGCTGCTGCTTCCCGCGCTTCCCTCGCCTTGCGCCCCGGTATCGGCACTCCCTCCTTCTCAAACTTCTTTCGCAATATGTACCACCGCTGGTGGGGAAGGGTGGGGGTCGGGGGACAAACAAGGAGGCACACGAACCAGGAAGGGTGAGCGATGCGGGAACGGAAGGATGGTGCAAGGGTAAAGGAGCAGGTATCGGCACACCCTCCCTCTCAGACTCCTTCCGCAGAGTGTAACAGTGCTGAAGGAAGAGGGAGGGAGGAAAACGAGGAAGGCAGCGTTTGTGATAGAGTGAAGGGCGATACTTTTTAGGCGGCTCAAAAATAGCACTCTCAAGCTTCTTGTGCGGAATGTACCACCGCAGGGGTGAGGGCGAGGAGAAGGGGTTGTGAGAGCCAGAAAAGGGGAGTGTGAGGGGAAGGTCAATGAGAGGGCAATGCGTGAGTAGAATCCTGCTATCGGCACCAGCTCCTTCGCAAAACTTGTGTGCGGAATGTACCAGCGCTGGTGACGGAGTGGGGAGAGGGTGGAGGACAAAGGGAATGAGTGCGAGGGAAGGGGCGATCAGTGGTGATGCATGGGCAGGGGCCAGGTCTCAGCCCGCCCTCCTTCTCAAACTTATTGCTCAGATTACACCACCGCTGAGGTGAGGGCGAGAAGAAGGGGTTGTGCGTGCCAGCCAGACAGGGGGGGCGTGAGGGAAAGGGTGATGAGAGGGTGATGCAAGAGTCAGGGGACCGGTATGTGAACTGCCTCCTCGACTTGTACCACCGCTGGCGTAAGGGCGGATGGATGTTGGGTTAGCTGACGGTGAAGTGAAGGAGTAGGGGCACGAGGTAGGCGGTAGGCACGAGGTAGGCGGTAGGCACGCACTCACACACGCATGCTCACACACGCATGCTCGCACACGCATGCTCACACACGCATGCTCGCACACGCATGCTCACACACGCATGCTCGCACACGCATGCTCCCACACGCATGCTCGCACACGCATGCTCACACATGCATGCTCGCACACGCATGCTCGCACACGCATACTCGCACACGCATGCTCGCACCCGCATGCTCGCACACGCATGCTCACACACGCATGCTCACACACGCATGCTCGCACACGCATGCTCCCACACGCATGCTCACACACGCATGCTCGCACACGCATGCTCGCACACGCATGCTCGCACACGCATGCTCCCACACGCATGCTCGCACACGCATGCTCCCACACGCATGCTCGCACACGCATGCTCCCACACGCATGCTCGCACACGCATGCTCGCACACGCATGCTCACACACGCAAACACCCATCTGAGACAGCGAGCGACATTCCTCTTCATTCCCAAGTCACTTTTCAACACTTGCCCCTCGGCATGCACCTCGTGGCACACAGTAGCAGCCATACACTTAGTTGCTACAAACGCGTTTGGCGTTTGAACGCTAGCGTTTAAACGCTAGCGTTTGAACGCTAAACGCTCGGCAGTGCGTATGTGAACGCTAGGCAAGCGCTTGCCCGGGCAGGGGTTCAAGATTCCTGTGGGGGAGGGGGGAAACATGGGGGTTCTACCAGCAAGCATTTTGTCTCATAAAAAAGAATCGTGCTTAAAGCGCGTGGCCCAAGAAAGACCAAGAATCAAATACTCTGAGTCTTGATCCTTCGCCAAACCAACAAAAATTTACAGGGTTGCTACCAAAACTCTGCGAAGGGGTGGAATCCTCATCGGACGTGAAGGGATTGGCTAAGCTCTTTCCCACACCAGAGCGTGCGACGAGGAGCGAGTCGCCGACTCCACAAACTTACTCACAAGGCAAAACCAAGATCCATATTGTCTGGTTTCTTGGGACTACCGTCCATGGCGCCAGCAGGGCGCGTGGAAGCTTTCCACCAGCGTAGCCAATGATGACTAGAGTCGAGCTAGTTTAGGGATCTAGCAGTGAAACCGCTGAGTGGCCTCCGATAATTGGCAGCACCATTTAAGATAGGCGTTGGTAGAAGAGGCGATGGCGCATAGCAGCAGCGCAGCGGACACCCCCTTATATCGGGTCTCGACGGTTCTGCGAGCAACGGTCGGTTCCCATCACTCTCGAACCCCGAGCCCTAATCGCGGGGGACGCGCGCTTACTCACCCTCCCCGTCGATTCCTGTTACACCATTGATACTCTCTCTTCCGTCACTGACGCAAGGTCCCGTCGCATCGCATCTCTCACCTCCGTCGCACGCTCTTTCTCCCTTCTCGCTTCTCTTCCCAGTGCAATTCTCTCTCTCTCTTCCGTCGAGCCTCTCCCTCCCCCTCGTCGCCCTTCTTCCCTACCCTCATCGGTACTTCTCCCTCCCCCGAGTTCCGCTTCTCCCTTCCCCTCAGAGTGCTTCTCCCTCGCCACGCCGCAATTCTCCCTTTGCCTCGTCGCGCTTCTCCCTCCTCCACGTCAGTACCTCACCAGCCCCCTCGGCGGGCCTTCTCCCTCCCCCTCGTAAGTCCTTTTTTTTTTTTTTTTTTTTCGCTCTTCCGTACTTCCCCTTGCCCTTGTCGTGCTTCTCCCCCCCCCTTGTCAACACTTCACCCTCCCTCGCGTTGGTATTTCCCTTTCTTTCTATCCTCCACGTTCCTTCCTTTCGCTCTTTCCTAGTCTGCCATGAAGCGATGGATAGGCGTGGGGGGCAGGAATGGATAGGCGCTGGTATGAGGGAATAGCGAGCAGTCTCCTCCTCTCCCGCTCTACCCGTCTTCGATCCCCCCTCTCCTTCCCCCCAGTTTCCCTACTCATTCCCTTCAGCTCCCCCTCTCTTTCCCCTATGCTCCCCCCTCCCTTTTCCTCCAGCCTCCTCAGAGTTTCCCCCTTGTTCTCTCCTATCCTCCTCTCCCTTTCCCCCTGTCCTCCTCTCCCTTTCCCCCTGTCCTCCTCTCCCTTTCCCCCTGTCCTCCTCTCCGTTTCACCCTGTCCTCCTCTCCCTTTCCCCCTGTCCTCCTCTCCTTTTCCCCCTGTCCTCTTCTCCCCTTCCCCCTATCCTCCTCTCCCTTCCCCCCTATCCTCCTCTCCCTTTCCCCCTGTCCTCCTCTCCCTTTCCCCCTGTCCTCCTCTCCCTTTCCCCCTGTCCTCCTCTCCCTTTCCCCCTGTCCTCCTCTCCCTTTCCCCCTCTCCTCCTCTCCCTTTCCCCCTGTCCTCCTCTCCCTTTCCCCCTGTCCTCTTCTCCCTTTCCCCCTATCCTCCTCTCCCTTCCCCCCTATCCTCCTCTCCCTTTCCCCCTGTCCTCCTCTCCGTTTCCCCCTATCCGCCTCTCCCTTTCCCCTTGTCCTCCTCTCCCTTCCCCCCTGTCCGCCTCTCCCTTTCACCCTATCCTCCTCTCCCTTTCCCCCTGTCCTCTTCTCCCTTTCCCCCTATCCTCCTCTCCCTTCCCCCCTATCCTCCTCTCCCTTTCCCCCTGTCCTCCTCTCCGTTTCCCCCTATCCGCCTCTCCCTTTCCCCTTGTCCTCCTCTCCCTTCCCCCCTGTCCGCCTCTCCCTTTCACCCTATCCTCCTCTCCCTTTCCCCCTGTCCTCCTCTCCTTTTCCCCCTGTCCTCTTCTCCCTTTCCCCCTATCCTCCTCTCCCTTCCCCCCTATCCCCCTCTCCCTTTCCCCCTGTCCTCCTCTCCCTTTCCCCCTGTCCGCCTCTCCCTTTCCCCCTGTCCTCCTCTCCCTTCCCCCCTGTCCGCCTCTCCCTTTCCCCCTGTCCTCCTCTCCCTTCCCCCCTGTCCGCCTCTCCCTTTTCCCGGTCCTCCCTCCGTTTCCCCCTGTCTTTCCTCTCAGCACCCCCTCTCTGTAACCGTTGTGAGTCCATACCCCTCAGCACCCCCTCGTTCCACCCAGGTCCCCCTCTCTATCCCCTCAGCTGCCCCGCTCTTTCCCCGTCGCAGGGGGGAACCCCTTGGCAGGTCCCTTCCCCGTCGCTAGTCCCCTTAGGGCATTCTCAACCCCTTCTCCCACCCTGAATCTGAATCTCCTGGTGTTCATTCCAGACCCTGGCTCCCACAACCTCAGCTCCCCCTCTCTATCCGCCCTCCTCTGCCTCTCCTCTGCCTCTTCCCCTCAGCTCCCCGTCTCTTTCCCCTCGTCCGTCTCATCCTCCCCCCGTTTTCATCACGCCCCTTGCTTACCTTCCTCCCATCTGCTCGCCTTATTTCCCCCCTCACCTTGTGACTGTACAGGGCAAGGCTGTCGAGTCAGGGGGCAGGACCTTAGGGCTGTCCTCGGCGTGCAAATGAATATTGTCTATATACGCCCTAGAACTAAACACCTCGTGTAGTTTTTGTTATTCCCGTGTTTTGCATACTACTCGACACAGCGTGTTGTAATCTGGGTGCTGTTAAAATATGATATTGTTTCATTCCTATTTTGTTGCGTTGTTATACCACGTAATGGGGTATGGAAATTGCTGTGTTATAAGATTAGCGTATTATACGTACTAAGTGTTACACGGTCAGAGCAGGTTCAGGGCGGGACGCGTTCGGTGCTGTTCCGTCTCAATTTTGGTTTCGGGAAATGGGTATTTTTCGCACGCGGTTTACACCTTACGTGGTTGGTCCGTCGAGCCCGATATCAATTTGAGGGGCGTTTGGTTCGTTCTTTGAACACGTCCCTTTCCGTGCTGCCACTCCCTGCTTTCTCTCGTCGCCAAGCGTCGCTCTGCCCTCGCTGGCGACGCGTGGTCCTTTCGTCCCTCTCCCGTTTCATTTTCTGTTTCGCTGTACCCTGGCGAATTTCGCTAGCCCGACCAAGAATCAAAGACTTTGAATCTTGGTCTTTCTTGGGCCACGCGCTTTAACATTTAAGCCAGCATCCTCATATGTCATGTAAATCACCTATCCTTAACGCTATTCTCCAACGACAATCTCGTGTTTTTTTTGGGGGGGCAGCCCGAAAAAAATCCCAGAGAGCGTTTGCGTTTTTGGGTGCGTTTGGCGTTCGCGTTCAAACGCAAGCGTTTGAACGCTAAACACGTGTCTGCCAGAGCGTTTGTAGCAACTAAGGCCATACTTACACACGTACGCGCACAGACCCACACAGGCCTATCGAGAGATTTTTTAGAATTCTAAAATTTCTCTCAGTTGAGCCGCCTATTGTACTATCGAGAGATTTTTTAGAATTCTATAGTTTCTCTCAGTTGAGCCGCATTTCGTTCTATCCCAAGCCACTCTTGAGCACCCACCCCCACTGCCCCTCCCTGTACACCTCAACAGCATGCAGCAGCAGCTGTATAAACAAAGATGCGCAGGCCCATACAGGCCTACCTGCAACGGCTGAGCCGCATTCCTCTCAATCCCCAAGTCACTCTTCAGCCCCCAGCCTGTCTGCCCCTCGCCATACACCTCCAGGTCACACAGCAGCAGGCACACTAAAAAACACACACAGCCCTACACAGGTCTACCTGCGATAATTGTGCGGCATTTCGTTCGATCCCCAGGTCACTCTTGAGCACGCGTCCCCCCTGCCCCTCCCCATACACCTCCACAGCTTCCAGCAGCTGCTTATCGTCCTCAGGCGTCCACGCCTCGCTACGCACGCAGATACCCACGCAAGCCTACCTGCGACAGTTGCGCGGCGTTCCTCTCGATCCCCAGGTCGCTCTTGAGCACGCGACCCCACTGCCCCTCGCCGTACACCTCCACCGCCTTCAGCAGCAGCTTGTCCTCCTCTGGCGTCCACGCCTTGCGCTTCTTCTTCGCCTCACCATCCGCTCCCCCTCCTGCCGCCCCTGCAGTCCCTGCCGCCCCTGCTGCCCCTGCCACCCCCCCGCTGCTGCCACCTGCAGCGCCTGCAGCAGCAGAGGCGCCGTGCTTGCTGGGCTTGGGCGACAGCAGGTTGCTGCTGCCACCGTGGCCCTTCTTCTCCCCCGTGCCGCCATCCCCACCCGGGCCACCTCCTGTCGGCGCCTTTGCACCAGCCTTGCCTGCTGCTGCCTTCCCTCCCTCCCTCTTCCCTCCGCCATCCCCTCCCCCTCCTCCTGCTGCTGCTGCAGCCGTGTCCTCCAATCCCTTCCCGAGCCCCTTCCGACCCGCTCCTGCTGCATCCCCTCCCTTCGCTTGCTCCTTACCCGCCCCACCAGGCTTCCCTGCGCTCTCTGCAGGCTTTGAGGCGACTGGAGCCACCAGCCGAGCCACCGGCTTGTTCTCCTCCTCGTCCTCCTCCTCCTCAGCCCCCTCGTCATCCCCATCACCATCCCCATCATCATCCCTTCCGTCCGTGCCATCCTTATCTCCCACCAGCGTCTCCCCACTCCCATGCCGCGTACCAGCTGCCTTCCCCGCCTCGCCCTTCGCCTCCTGCTCCCCTTCCTCCTCCCCCTCGCCTTCCCTTTTCTCCCCCGCCCTCGCCGTCTGCCCTTCCCCCGCCTCCCCCCCCACCTCTTCCTCCTCCGCTATGCCTCGACCGCCGGGGCCAACAGCAGCAGCCTCGAAAGGGGGCAAGCCTTTGGCATGGAAATGGGCATGTGCAAGAACAGCAGAATCAGCTCCATCCGTGTGCTGCTGCTGCTGCTGCTGCTTGTGACGCTGCTGCTGCTCTCCCTGCTGCTGCTGCTCCCTGCACTGCTGCTCTCGTCCCTCCTGCTGCTGCGTGGCAGGCTTGTCAGGATGGCATGAGTGGTACCAGCCATACGAAATGCCGGCATCAGCCAGGTCAGCCTGCCATGCAAGGGATAGTTTTAGGGATACAAGGAAAGACAAGCATGTAATAGAGATAATTGTGGCCGTTGATGTACTCCTCCATCTCCTCCCTTCGTTCAGCATGCTTGTCTGGGTGGCATGAGTGGTACCTTACCAGCCATACGAAATGCCGGCATCAGCCAAGTCAGCCTGCCGTGCGAGGGACATTCCAAAGGCACCAGCAGAGAGTACAGAAGTGTTCTTCTCTGTGTTTCTGGAACCTCCAAAAGCAACTCTCAGTCAATGGGAATTTCATCGACTTGGTTCGCTTCGCTCAGTGTACTGTGCAATGTACCCACTGCGAAAGCCTCTCAATTCTTTACAGCTAACACTGTTGAGAGGCACTTAACCTAAGGGCACTACGGAACGAATTTCGCCTGGCATTGCCTCCAAGCAGCTAGTGGTACCTTTACAAAAGATGCAGCAGCGGAGATGAGGTGCGGTGACGTGTCCAAGGGATACTCCAACTCGTCCTCCAGATCGCTCTCCTCCTCCTCCTGCCACACCGCATGCCACATGAGGTAATGCAAGACCGTACATGCAGTGCCATGCCAAGCCATGCCATGCCATGCGAAATGGCTTTGGAGTGTGCCACACAAGACGGTGCGCAATGCTAAACCGCAAATGTCTTGCCTTTTAGGGTCTCGTGCAGCAAGACATAATAGGTGATGACGTCACCACCAAGCCAACGCAGGCTCAACAGCACGGCAGCGTCACAAGCTTGGTGATGGAAGTGTGTGAAGCTGGAAGAACCAGCTTGGCGTCACGAGCTTGGCGTCCGGCCGTAGGTGAGCCAGCGCCACAGCAGCACACAGAGGTGGTAGCGACTCAGAACATTTTGAAGTCTTTTGAGTCTTGAGTCGACTCACAAGGTACCAGCAAGGGTTCGGATGGCTGTATGTCGAGCTGGGAGAACGGGTGGCTGTACGCCAGGCAGCGCCACAGAGGCTGGCAGGCAGAGCGCCGTGCTGGCGACAGCAGGTGGCAGAGGTGATGCCTCTCCAGTCCAACCCCAACTCACCAGCAAGGGCGCGGAGGGCAGCGCGTCCAGCTGCGAAAACGGGCGGCCGTAGGCGAGCCAGCGCCACAGCAGCTGGCAGAGCGCCAGGCTGGCGACCGGGAAGCCGTACTTGGCGGAGAGGCGGGCGGCGATGGCCGGCCAGTGCAGGTGGCGGCGGTGCGACGCCTCCCGTGCGACCTCCTGCAGCAATGCCATGATGAAGGCTGCTCCGTACCTGAATGGGTGGGTTGAGGGATGGGCAAAGGGGAGGGACGGGAAGGGCAAAGGCGAGGGACGGGAAGGGCAAAGGGGAGGGACGGGAAAAGGGTAAGTCGAGAATGTGAGTGCTGGTGGTGGCGGGGTGATGCCTCCTGTGCGGCCAGTTGTAGCAGGGCCACGAAGAGGGCTGCTCCGTGCCTGAGAGTCAGGTGAGGGAAAGAATTACTTTTGAGTCGACTCAAAAGCAGAATTACAGGTTGGTCTGAGCATGAGCACAGGGTATGGCGGCGCGGTGCCTCCCGTTGCAGCAACGCCACTGTGAAGGCTGCTCCGTACCTAAGAGAGGGGCGAGGGAAGGGCAAGGGGAGAGCCGAGACAGCTTTTGAGTCGACTCAAAAGTCATTTCGAAGGTCAAGGGGAGAGTCGAGACAGTCAGTGCAAGTGGCGGCGGTGGTGGCAGGATTCGCTTCTTGCGGCACTGCCACTACAATCACACCGTGCACACTCACTGGTGGCAAGCAGCTGCCACGTCAGCCTCTGAGAGGCTCCTGGTGCCGTGCATGCTGATGTCAATCCCCGCTGCTGCCAGCGCCGCCACCGCCCCCCCGTCCATGTCAAAGCCACCCTCCTCCTCCTCATCCCCCTCGTCCTCCTCCTCAGATTCCTCCTCCTCATCATCATCTTCAACTTCCACACTCTCCTCCTCTCCCTCCTCCAGATCAATCCTCTCCTCCTCCCGCTCCCCATCCCCTCCCATCCCTCTTTCCTCCTCCTCCCCCCTATCTATCTCCATGCCACCAGCACCATCAGCACCATGAGCACCCCCCTCCCCCATCCCACCGCCCCACCCATCCCCCCTCGCCTCAGCCTCTAACACCATCTTAACTATCGCCCCCACGCCTGCCGCCCCTGCCGCCCTCCCCACCTTCCCCCTCGCCTCCTCTCCTCCCCTTCTCCCCGCCTCTCCACCCCTTCCCCCATCGTCGCTGCCCGCTCTCCCAGCGGCCTTGAGGCTCCTCCCTGGAGGCTGCTGGGTTGACTCCAGTGCGCCCCTCACGCCCCTCTCCGGCGACCCTTGAGTGTCAGGCGCCTCAGGCGGCAAGTCAAACGCCCCTCCCAGGCTCCTCGCTGCAGCCATGGCTGCTGCAGCGCGGTCGGCAGCAGCAGCGGAAGGGGCAGAAGCAGGAGGGAGACGGGGGGGAGGGCGGGGGGTGGGACGAGGAGGAGAGAGGACAGCAGCAGAGCGAGGAGACTGGGGAGGCACAGGGCGGGTGGCAGCAGCAGCTGCTGCAGATTTCGCCTTGGCTTTGGTGGGGGTGGCCGTGCGCTCTCTCTGTGCCTCCCCTCCTGCCACACTCCGTTTGTTCCCCGCCCTCCCCCCGTCCCCCACCAGGCTCCTTCCCCCGACACCTGCGCTCTCCTCTCCGCCCTTCCTCTCCACAGCAACCCGCTTGCTCCGCTGCTGCTCTGCCTCACCGGCCGCACCGTCTGCGCCTCCTGCTCCTGCGCTGTCGCGTCCCTCTCGTCTCCCGGGGTCGCGTCCCTCTCGTCTCCCGGGGTCGCTCAGCCCTTTTGCTTCACAGGCAGCCGCAGCATCTTCATCCGCGTCTCCTCGCCTTCTCTTTCTCGCAAACCGCCCACCTGCTGCCCCTCCTGCTTCTCCTCCTGCTTCTGCCACCTCTCTTCCCGTACCGCCTCCCTTCTCTCCACGTCTGTCCGCTCCACCCTCATCAATCTCTTCTCTCCTACCCGGAACCCCTCGCTCACGCAAACCCTTGCCCCCCCAACTGTCTTTCCCCCTTTTCCCCCCAACTGTGCCCCCTTCCTCCCGCACTGCCTTCCCTCCTGCGCCCCCCTCTCCCCTACCATCTGCACCCGCCTGCTCTCCCCCTTTTCTTAAGCCTTTCCCCTTCCTCCCGTCGTCCCTCTTCAAGCCCCCTTCTCTTTCCCTGTCATCCGCTCTCCTTCCCCGTTCCTCCTCCTTCCCTTCCCCCTTCCTCCCCCCTTCCCCCCTCCCCCCGTCCCCCCCTTCCCCGTCCTCCCCCTCGCCCCCCTCCCACTCCGCCCCCCACCGCCCCTTCTTCCGGGCGGGGGATATCAGCGCCAGCCTGGCGGAGTGCCGCGTGGGGCTCAGAGGCTGCTTCCCCGCCCCCAAGCGCTTTTGGCCGGCAGACTGCTTGGATTGGGCGGCAGACTGCTTGGTCTGGGCGGCAGACTGCTTGGACTGGGCGGCATGTTTGGAAGGTGGTGCTTGCTTGGGGGGGAAGGACCTTTTGAGAGTATGTTTCTTGGAGGAGGAGAGTTTGAAAGACTTAGAATGCTTCTTGGGATGCTTCCCAGCAGCATGGCTCCCACTTCCCCCACTCCCTCCTCCTCTCTGATCACCACCACCCTCCCCTTTAACTGCCCCTGCTGCTGCTGCCCCTGCTGCTGCATGCTTGATACTGCTCTCACCTGCTTCTATGCCTCCTGCTTCTCCTCCCCCTCCCTCTCCTTTCCCAGCAGCAGCAGCAGCAGCAGCAGCTCCTGCTGCTGCACCCAGCGCTACCCTCTCAACTGTTTCCCCTCGTCTTGCTGCCGCTGCTGCTGCTGCGTCTGCAGCTGCTGCTGCTCTGGGGTGTGAGTGGGCTCTAAGGGGCAGAGGCCTAGCCGGCTCCAGAACAACCGTTGCCACTGTGGGGTGTTCCGCATCCACTGCCACTGTAGCTGTCACTGTCGCAGATACTGTAGCGGCAACTGTAGCTGTGATTGTAGTGGGCAGTGCAGCCTTTAAATCCTCCTCGTCTGCGTCTGCATTTCCCCTTGTTGCCACTACTGGTATGCCAATTCTGTCAACGCTACCACCACCAGCAGCACCAGCAGCAGTTGTTCCACCACCGCTGCCACCAGCACCGCCATCACCATCGCCGCCAGCAGCGCCAGCAGCTGTGGCGGCACCCGCCTGCTCCCCTCCCCCCTCCGCCCCCTCTTCCTTCCCCCTCACCTTCCCCTTCTCCCCCTCCCGCGCCTCCTCTCTATTCAAGCCCTCAGCTCCCTGTTTGACTTCGCGTCCTGCACCCTTTTCCGCCGCTGCCTTCGTTTCTCCCGCTGCTACAGCTGCGCCGGAGGCAGTGCGCGGGGCTGCGCCTACGAGCGGGGCAGCAGCAGTGGGCGGGGGGGCAGCAGGCGCAGGCGGAGCGACACCAGGCGGGGCAGCAGGGGCGCTCTTCCCAGCGGGCGCAGCCTGCTGCGGCGCCGCCACCGGTCCTGTACGCCCCGCGACTAATTGCGCCTGCCCTTGCGCAAGTTGCGCATGCGCTATCTGCCCTTTCGCGAGCTGCCCTTGCGCCGCAAGAGCTACAGCCGGGAGCGGGGCCGCGCCAGTAGCGACAACGCGGAGAATCGGCGCAATGCGCGGACGATTGGCGCGTTGCAGGTGGAGCAGCGCAAGTTGACCGTCCGTCCGCGCCATTGGCGGAAAGCGGAGAGCGGATTCGGGAGAGTGAGGTCGTGAGGCTCAGCTGGCGGCTAACGCATCCATACAACCCCTGTAGTAAATTTTATAGAAAAGTTCCGCTGCAGGTTTGACTCTACAGGCTAAGGCGACTCGATATGAACGTGGTCGAGTGTGAGACACGAGAGGCGCAACAATCAATTGTGATACTAGCGTGTGTCTCCTCGTTCTATTGGAGAGTTTAGTGATTTCTAGATGACTGAAGTGGGAGAAGAAAATAGCAGAATGTGCTTATGTAGGCCATAGTGTTTTGTCCAGCTACTGTATCGAGTTCGAGTGTTCATTTCGTCGAAAGTGTTGCAGAATGGTCATTGGTAACGGCCTAACGATCCTTTCGCAAGTATTTCGCGAGCAGACGAACGAGGTCCTCGTCACCATCACGCTCCCGCCAGACTGCCAATCAAAGTTGCGCGTTGCGGAACAACCCAGCCCGCCAACAGAGAGCAGGGCCCCGCCCGCGCACGGTGGGGATGCATTGCATGCGTGGCCTTGCGCGACGGCGGATGTGGATGCCCCGCCCTGCCCTCGGGTGCGCGGAGCGGATCACCCCAGCCGCGGGGAGCTTGCTTGCGCTGCAGCGCACCCTCGCTCCCGCTAGTTCCCGTTTCCTCAAACATTCACATCAGCATTCTAGCACGCACCACGTTTCCGCTTGGTTTGGTTATTTGCTCTGCGCGCCGATCAGGAAGGGCTTTGCAGTGGTGCTGGGACCAGAAGAGAACGAGTGGCAGATTAGAGGCTTCAGCGGCTCGTCTTTATTCTTCACCTTGATAGCGACAGACGACTAAAGCGACAGCCATGGCTGCCGCAGCACGACAGCCGCGGAGATAATATCTTGACGCGCGTCGAGTCACACCATGGCTAGATTCGCACCAAACGGATGCCGCATGCCCCTCTGCGCCAGCACCGCCCCCTCTGGCGCCAGCACCACCCCCTCTGGCGCCAGCACCACCCCCTCTGGCGCCATCTTAGCGCCGAATTCTTGTGACGTCATCTCGTCCCCGTCGGACGTCGTCTGCTCACCTCCTGACGTCATCCTATCGCTCCCTGACGACGAAATAACCGTCGCCCGTTTGTCGCCGGTTCCGGCGGGCGACGATCTCCCGTCGCACGCGGAGGCCTCTCAAGGCGACGCCATGCCGCCGAGCGAAGGCCACCCGGCGGCCGCGTCGCCATCGTGGCAGTCGGACGGCGGCTTTCGCTCTCCCCTTCCGCGTAACTCTCCGCCCCTTTCCCCTCACGCTCCGCCTTCCCCCGCCCCACCTTTCTCCCCGCATCCGACGGGCGCGCAGCGCGCAGGGTCCGCCGTTTCCGCGCGGACTTATCCGCGCGTTCGACCTGCGTCGCCCTCCCCGCAAGCATCGCCCTCCCCCTTCGTTCCGCGCGGCTATCTTCCGCTCTCCCCCAACGTCCCCGTGCCCTACCTACCGGGGTCCCCAGGAGTATCAACAGATAGTTTCGACCAATGGCGGTTCATGGGCAGCCCGGAAAAACCAGCAACGGGCAGCCCGAAGAAGTCAGCCACTGGGAAACCAAGCGATTCTGCCTCGGGCAGTCCGAAACGATCTCTCTTTGATGGATTCAAGAAACCACGTGGAAGCAGCCCCACCCGCGCAACAGCGGGGGTAAAGGGCGAGACTGGGGGAATAAATGGCGCAGACTCCTGCAGAGGGGAGGGCGGGGGAGACGGAAGCGAGGATAGGGTGAGTGATGAGGTCGGGACTTGGGGAGGGGGGAACGGGGGAGTGACGAACGGGAGAAGAGGCAAGAGAAGACGAGGACACATGGCCGGGGGGCGCGGAGGAAGGGAGGATGGGGGAGAGGGGAGAGCTGAAGGGGGGAGGGAAGGGAGTGGGGAAGCGGGAGGGGAGGGTGAATGTGAAGGGCGAATACGAGGCGGAGGAGCCGCGGTAGGGGAAGGGAAAGCGGAGGGGGGAGAGGACGGGGGGATGAGAACGAGAGGCGAAGGGGGAGGGAGAGGAGCAGCGGAGGGGGGAGGGGAAGGCGCTGTGGGATGGAGCCGAGGGTACCAGGGGGCACCTATTGTGCTGGCACTGCCTGCTGTGAGCCTGCCACGTGGTAGAAGGGGATTGGGCCATGGAGCCAGTGTCACGGTAAACGAGGAGGAGAAACGAGTGGAGCGTGTAAGGGGGCGGGAGAAGAGAGGGAGGGAGTCTGTGATTGGTCGATGCGCCATGGCGGGAGAGGGAAAGGGGGAGGAAGGAGAGGTTGGGAGGAGGGAGAGGGACGAAGAGAGGGGAGGCGTGAGGGAGGAAGGGAGTGGCGCTCTTAGAAGCGCAGCTGGGGGCGGGAGAGGGGGAGGGGGAGGGAGAGGGGGAGGGGGAGGGGGAGGGGGAGGGGGAAGGGGGGAAGCATCTGAGTCAGAAGGATGGTGTGCCACGTCATTAACTTCATCTGTGTTTTTGGGCGGGGAGGAGGAGGAAGGAAGACACAAACCAGGAGAGACACCAGAGGTTGGCAGCAGGGGGCGGGATGAAGGGGGGGCTCACAGCAGGGAGGGTTGTGGTGGCGGTGCTAGGGAAGGGAAGGACGGGCAGCGAGAGTTGGGAGGGAGGAGAGGAGAGAAGAAAGATACAGAGGGTGCGAGAGTTGCTAGCGGTGGCAGGATTAGGAGGAGGGGTGGGAGGATGGGGGGCGGAGGCAGCAGGGCAGAGGGGGGAGGCGCAGATGAGAGCAATGCGAGGGTTGGAGAGTCAGAAGCGTTTAGAGACCAGGCCTTAGGGTCAGGCTCGGCCGGGCCAGAGCAAGCAGGCTCAGCAACAGCAACAGCAACAGCAACAGCAGCAGGGCAGGAGCATGGTGGTGATGACATGGTGGCAGAAGGGCAGCGGGGCGCGGTGCCGTCAGCACAAGCAGGCCGAGCGACTCATGGTGTGGCGCCAGCCAGTGGTGCTTGGGTGCCGCCTGTGTCTCCCTTCGGCCTCATTCAGGTGTGCTGCGGTTCGATGCGGTTCAGTACGGTGCACAGTTTTGTCCCGTGTTGTGGTGCTTTGTGGTGTGATGCGGTGCGACGTGGTGTGGTCTGTTGTCCTATGGTGTTGTGCATCCCATTGCAGCAAGTTGCCATGTGATGGATGTCCGCACCTTTCCTCCATCCCCTATCTATCCTCACCTCCCTCCTCCACCTCGCTCTCCCCTCTCGCCCTCCTCCCCCTCCCCCTCCCCCTCCCCCTCCCACTCCCCCTCCTCACGTTTCATCGCTCACCCCAATGCCCTGTGGGAGCATACCCCCCCTGGACCTGCTGGTGGTGTGCTTTGGTGCCTCGTTCCTTACATATCCCCCCCTCTCCCCCTCTCCCCCTCTCCCCCTCTCCGCTGTACCATCTCCCTCGTCTTTCCACCATCACATCAGCAGCGCCTATTCCGGGACCCCTGGAGGCTGGTGGTAGTGCCAATATGGATGTCACGTGCCAATCCCTCCCCCTCCCCCCCCCCCCCCACCCCCAACCTCACGCCCCCTCACCCTCTCACCGCCTTCTTCAACGTTCCTCCAGGAGCGCCTATATCAGGACCCATGGAAGCTGCTGGTTGCATGCATGCTGCTCAACAAGACAGCTGGCAGGCAGGTGGGTGCATTCTCCTTCAGGGCTGGTATCAGTGAGATATTTGATCGGACACTGAAAGGAAATATTTTTTGCATAATGTGTCGATGTAGTATAGTGGTGAGTATCCTCGCCTGTCACGCGAGAGACCCGGGTTCGATCCCCGGCATCGGCGCAGTTTTTCGCTGCGGGTTTGCGTTCCCTGGAGATCTCACATTTCCTGAATAGCAGGGTTATAAGCTAGAGACACTCGAGCTCCCTTCGGGCAGCCAAATTCAGCTCCCATGGTCCATGCCGCCTCCCCCCCATGACCTCTTGGCAATCTCATCTTCACCTTTGCCCCCTTCTCTCTTTCCCTCCAGCCACACCGAGTCTTTTGGGACCTCGTCCGCCTCACCCCCTCCCCTGAAGCAGCCATCGCTGCACCAGCGGCTGAGATTCCGGTGGTCTCACTAAATCCCTGACTTGCCTGCCCTGTCCCCCCTCCTCTCTTTCCCCCCAAACCCTCACTCTCCCCTCCCCCCCCACCCACCCCACTCTCCACCTCCCAGCTGCACCGAGTCATTTGGGACCTCTTCCGCCTCATCCCCTCGCCTGAAGCAGCCATCGCCGCACCAACGGCTGAGATCGCCAATGCCATTCGCTCGCTGGGGCTCCAGAACAAGCGCGCTGCCATGATCCAACGGTTCTCAAAGGAGTTCCTTGCGGGTGGATGGACGGACGTGATGCAGCTGCACGGCATTGGGAAGTGAGTAAGGGGGGGGGGAGTGGAGGAGTTGACGTTCGCTCAGGCAACACGGCATGGGGAAGTGAGTGAGTGAGCACGATGGGACGGGGGGGGAAGGGGAGATTGGACGGTGGCTTGGGCAGCACACGAAGCGTGCCGCCGTGATCCAAAGGCTTGCTGAGGAGTTTCTGAGAGGAGATTGGACGGGTGTGATGCAGCTGGAGCTGCATGTCATGGGCACGTGAGTGCAAGGGGATGAGGATGCCCCCGTTTAACGTTACCATTTTTTTTTTGGCGCAGACATTGCAGATATGTCGGTGCTTACTTTCCTGCTCTCACTCTCCTTCCCCGTTTTGCCTCATGCCTGCCTTCACACTCTCCTTCCCCCTCCCCCCTCCCTCCTCTCCCTTCCCTGCACCCCCTCCCTTCACGGTCCCCTGTCTCGTGCGACTGCGATGCATGCTGTGGCGGCGCTATATGTCCGCACTGCCATGAGCAGGTACGCAGCAGACGCACACGCGATATTCTGTGAGGGCAGGTGGAGGGAGGTGAGGCCCAGCGACCACGTGCTCAACAAGTACTGGCACTGGCTCAAGCAGACGGACGGGCTTGGATTGGCGTTCACTGAGACTTGAGAGCTGAGGTGTTGCTTGGGATGCACTGCTAGTTATGACGTGCATCAAACAAGACGACGACATGCTCAACAGGTCAAGCGGACGTCTGGGCTCGGATTGGCATTCACTGAGACTTGAAATTCGTTTGGTGCACACTGCTCTGACCATGGCACCCTTGTGGTTCTTCTGCTCACTGTAGCCCTCCCTTTCCAGGCTGCTTATTCCCTCTGTCTTCTCCCATTCATGCCACTTGCGCTTTCATTTGTTTGTTTGGTCGGTTGTGTCTACTGTGTGCCAGCAAGTAGAGTCAGCTTCTTGGGAAGGCAATGAAGTACTTTTTGAGGCGCCTCAAAAAGCAATGAAGCAATCTTCCACCACATTCAACCACAGGAAGGGCTAACACACACGCTACCATAGTGTATATCGACTATATTTCCGTGTTCAACAGGCATGTACAAGTCACAAGGTTCGGTGCTACCCTGAACGACCTTAAACCATGGCGGCGAGGGTCCACGAAAACACAAGACCACAAGAGCACCAGAGCAGGTGGAGCAGAGTCAGGCAACAGGGATCTCCACGGCAGTGGTGGGCAGTTCCTCAGGAGCCTCAAGCTTGGGCAGAAGCAGGTTGAGCACACCGTTGCTCATCTCTGCCTTGATTCCCTCCTTCAAAATGTTTTCTGGCACCGCTACAGTAACCTGCCAGAAGATAAACAGAGGATTAACAGAATGAGCTGGAGGTGGCTCTGCAGCAGCCTATCCGGGAGCAGCCTCTCTGTAACAGCCACCCTACAGGCACACAGTCTTCCAGAAAGCTCCAAATCCAGCCAGAAAACAGCAGTTGCTACAAGGCAGCGACGCTATACGCAAGCGCATCAAGGTAGGTACCTGGTACGATTTGGAGGATTCTCGCTCATCCTTCTCCTCGCCCTCGCCGTCCGTCCCATTCACCTCCCTGAGCTCCCCTCGGATCACCAGAGTATCTCCCTCCAGCGTCACCGACACATCCTCCTTGGACAAACCTGCGCGCCACACGCACCATCATTAGTGGGTCTTCAAGGCACCTCGAAAGCTTCACTGACAACTCATCTTTGGAAAAACATGTGGGTCACACAAGACGGAGCTAAAGAGGTTGTGCCATGGGCCACTTGTTCCAGAAACTCCCCAGAGAAACCGCCTAGTGGGAGCGTGAAGCGATCAACCCACCAGGCATGTCGATGCGGATGTGGAAGGCGTCGTCCGTCTCCGTCTCACTCCACGGCAATCTCCCCGGCAGAGCAGCGGCGAGCGCCAGAGGAGACACGCGGGCCGCAGCACGAAGCGGGTTGGCAGCCAAAGCGTGGCGAAGCATGGTGCGGTCCATGGCGTCCACGAGGTGCGTGAGCGAGTGGGTGCCGGGGAACCAGGGGTCCAGCAGCTCTGCGCACATGGCCACGCGCGTGGATGAAAGAGATTCATTCCGATCATGCCGCTGCAGGAACCAGTAACACAAAAAACTTTTTGCAATGCAGCGTTTGGGCTCCGGTTGGAGCTCGCTCAGCAACAATCTTTGGCTGCGACGCCAAAGAAGCAAAAGTATTGGTTTGTCTGCGACGTGGATTTACCTGAGAGGGACCCAAATGGCGTTGCCACGGTCGGGCGGCGCGAGACGAGGAACGCTCGGCTCTTCACAGCGCGCTGGGGCTGTGCTGTTGTGGCAGCGGCGTCCGTTGCTGCCGATGATGATGATGGCGGGTCCGCGCTTGGCTGCTCCTGCAGGCTCTTGGAATCCGCCTTTGCCGTGATGCGCCGATGACGCGATGCCGAGACACGCTGCGCAGGTCGGACGGAACCTGCAAATGAGGGGGAACGATACCATTGTTAGCTTGGGAACATGCTGGAGGCTAACGACTGAGGGTTGGCAAGATTTTGTCACTTACCTGGCGATAATTTTTTCATAGAAATACCGAACCTCCCAAAAGCGTGGGAAAAGGTGGGAGAAACGATGGCGATAGCAGTAGTGGCAGCCATTGGAGATTTTCGCGTGACTAAGACGACGTGAAAGTGCAGTTTGTAGAGAGCGAGAGAATTTGTGAGATATCGGGTGCTGGAGTTCGAGCACATGCGAACTCCTTTTATCCCCCGCAGGAGCACCTTCAAAAATGCAGTGGGTCATTCGAGAAGGGATTGTCGAACACGATGTGATGCGCTTCGACAGTTCTGGAGGCGCATCTCGTAGCTCAAGATGGAGAGAATTGCCGGGGGAAGCCCCTGAGAATTTCACGGTCAGGGATGCAGTTTGGATGTTGCTGTTGGAATCCTTGCGCAGAACAGCCAATGAGAACTTCTTTGGTTGCCCCGATCTGAATGGGCACCGAATCGAAAGATTCAAACCAGCACGCAAGGTTCCTTCAGCTTCAAGTCACGCTCCAAAAGCTGCTGCGATGCTACATATAAACGATCAAGCAAAGCTACGGCATTGCAGTGACTCGCTGCACCTACAGCTTGTAATGAACAATGCTATAACAATCGAGGCATAGTAAATGAGAACATAACATTTGACTATGTTTGGAACCACCATCATCACGAGCCTTCATGCTTGGGACCAGAAATATGTGTAGCCCTCCAGACAGGCACACCAATAAATGAATCCTGCTACACTCATCATGGTTCCAGCAGCAATACGTCTCCTCAACCCATTTCTGATCCCTTCACCCTCCGTGGACTACCTTGCATATACGGAGAGCAACCTACACCCTGGAAATTGTCACAAAGCATATGGCCCTTGATCCGTTTCAAGGGCGACACAAAGAAACACCCACGTCAAGAAGGAACACAATGTTCAGTTGCTAGTCTGTTCGAGCACTGTAGCAGCTGCTATCTGCCCATTCAGGCACTGCAGCAGCTGCTGTTTGTATTTAATAGAAGTAAAACAGCATCCTCCTGTCAAGATCAGCACACTAGGACTAACCCAGCTGCCGTGAGTCCCATCCAAAGCAAACCAGCTGCGGCCTGCCTGCATCAGAATCAAAGCAGCGGTGCGATGCTATCTGTCCCCCAGGTGAGGTAAAGCAGGTGCTGCCTGCACGCAACCAGAGCAGCAACGATCTGCTTTGCTCAGTGTTAGCGACAGGACAGCTGCCAATGTTTGTGTCATCCGTACAGCAGCTTCCTTCTGCCTTCCAAGCAGCTGCCATCAATCCCACGTTAGAGATACAGCAGGGGTAAAGCACACCACCTGCCATCTGTTCTCACCTGACCCCCCCTCTCTCCTTTGACCAGAAGTATAGCAGCTGCTGCGTGGGCGCCTGGCGGATGAAGAGCAGCTGCCATCAGTCCATCCCCCTTCCCCTCGCCGCTTTCCTTTCATCAGCCATAGAGCAGCTGCTGTCCGTCTCCCCCCCCCCCCATTCTCCCCCCCCCTTTTCTCCCCCCCAGTCAGAAGTAGAGGAGCTGCTGGCGGGGCGCGTGCCATCTGTTCCCCTCTCCCCTCCCCCATTCCCCCCTATCCCGCCCCGTGGTCAGAAGTAGAGGAGCTGCTGGCGGGGCGCGTGCCATCTGTTCCCCTCTCCCCTTCCCCATCCCCCCCTACCCCGCCCCGTGGTCAGAAGTAGAGGAGCTGCTGGCGGGGTGCGTGCCATCTGTTCCCCTCTCCCCTCCCCCATACCCCCCTACCCCGCCCCGTGGTCAGAAGTAGAGGAGCTGCTGGCGGGGCGCGTGGCGGAAGAAGGCGCCGACCTCCTGGCGTTTGTTGAGCATGAGCAGCGCCTGGCACAGCCCGCGCTTCATCCACCGGTTCACGCGCGGGAGGTCGGCGGCGCCGTGGGCGTCGATGCGCAGCGCGCCCAGGAACGCGTCCACGCCGCCCGACTCCACCGACGCCTCCAGGAAGCCCCACGCCCACGCCATGTGCAGCCGCGGCGCCAGGCCCTCGCCGCGCATGCTCAGCGCCGCGCCCCACACGGCATCCGCCATGGGCTGCGTCACCAGGTGCGGGCGCTGCCGCACGTACGCCGCCATCTTGAGCAGCGCCGCCGCCACCAGGTCCGGCTGCGTCGGCACCAGCAGGTGGGGGGGCAGCAGCGCGCGCACGGCGTCCCCGTACTCGCCCAGCGCGCGCCACTGCGAGGGGGTCAGCAGCGCCCGCGTGCGCTGTATGCGCGCCGCTGCTGCTGCCGCCGCCCCGCACACGTGCCGGTGCTTCCGCCACGCCTGCATCTGGCACAGCCGGCAGCAGTAGTACACCAGCCTGGGGGGGGGGAGAGGGGAGGAGGGGAGCGGGAGGGGAGAGTTGCGGACGGGGGTTGGTGGCGGGAGTGGCGGTATCAACAATCTGGGACGGAGTCAGCTACTGCTTCGCTACCAGCAGTTGCCTTTAGCACCTGCAGCAGCCTAACACGCCTCTATTACCCCAGACTGCCCTCTATCTGCGCGCTACCTGCAGCTGCCGCATTTGGAGGTGGCGGGTCGGCGCACGCAGAAGTAGCACGCGTTATCGGGAATGTCGAACGCCACCAGCCCGGGCCCCGGATCCCCCACCTCTCCGCCCGCCGCGCCCGCTTCCGCACCCGCACCTTCCCCCGTTCCCCCTACCCCCGCGCCAGCTGCGCCGGCAGCAGCGGCAGCAGCGGGAGCGGTGGCGGCGGAGACGGGAATGAGGGCAAAGTTTCTTTGGAGGAGGAAGTTGATGGAGAGCGAGCCGGCAGCGCCGACGAGCAGCGCCGCTAGCACCGACAAGTCGACGGAAACAGTAACTCGAGGCAGCAGCGAGCCCACATACTCGCGGGAGAGATAGCAGGCGGCGAGTAAGAGGCCGAGTAGGAGGCACGATACCAGGCACGCCACGTGCCGGGCTCTTACGCTTCCCAGCATCGTTTATTAACGCGAACCGCGGAGCTTATAACGAGGATTCGGCAACAAGGAACGCCGGGACGAGGAAACCAGGATCGAGAAGTTCCAGCTTCCCAGCTCTTTCAATGATAGAGTGCCGACTGTATGTCACAAGCTGTGACACGGCCTAACCCTAATACGCCAAGGCTCTACCATGACGGGGAAAAGCAACTATAAGGGCATAAGCATACTAGCGAACAGGTACGCGACGTGAACCTAGCGAGGTCCGAGGCAAGAAGCAGCTGTTGGGGAGGGTCAGCTCAGCAGACACAGAAAGCGAGACTCGGATTCACAGGCCACGTCTCTGGTCTGGCTGAAGCTCCCCTCCCAGACTCAACTTTCAGTGGGCAGGAAACAAGCAGCCTGGGCGACGGAAAACCAGAATCAAGGGTAGAGCTCTTGGGAAACACGAACTGGAAGGCTGGCTAGGTTGGGTGAGGGGAGGGGGCGAAGGGATTGGTGGTGGTTGGGTGGATGAGGCTGGTTCGGTCCGCGTTTGGCTGGTTCGGTTAGTAGCTGGTTTGGTCTGGAATAGGTTCGTTGGTCCGTGTGACGCAGACATGCAGCAGGCGGGCACGGAGCCTGGGCCTTTCGGTACCCTATCGGGCAGATTTGTTGCGGGTTGTGGTGCGAAACAATTCGAGAGCACATCAATGCCACCTGAAAAGGCCTCTCTACTACACCGCTTGCAAAACAATTTAAAGTCGCATCACTTGCGGCTCTAGTCGACGAAACTTTTCAGTGAAAAAGGCTGGCAAAGCACATGACGCTGAGATGCAGAGTGCCACAGCGCGTCCCGTCGAGCCAAACACACCAAAGTCAAACCAGAAAAAGCAAGGCTCGATGCCAATGCGTCGTTAGGGTTGCGTAGCAGCTTGATAGAATCCTGAAATGAAAGAGCAATTCTCTCATGCGAATAAATAGGTAAGAGAGTTCGTTTGTAAGGTAAGCTATGTGCAATTGTTTTTCAGATTGGATATGAGCGTGAACGTGATTTGAAGCCATTAGGGGATTTTGATGAGAAATGTATAAACGAGAACAATGCCATGGGTTTTCTACAAATCTCAACATGAAAAAAAAGGTTTGGTTGAAAAACAACATCAAATGGTGATTATGGATGCGAGACGTGTACTTGTCTGTAGCTATTAGAACTTATGCATTTTTGTCGAGACGAGAGGAAAAAGATATTTACTGTTGTGACTTTTTATTCAAGCTTGACTTTTTAGTTGCAGTGTTTCACGTGGGATGATGGTACATTATGGCACACCGTCAAGACGATTGGTTCGTTTTGACGTTGACAATCAAGTTGCAGTGTGACTCCATCTCTTCTCGAAATTTATTGGAACCGTGAGTTTTTAGTTGCATGAGTACACTATCAGCCGAAGGCGGACTGTAGAGTCGTTTGCTGAATTCCTAAGCAAACTTGGGCAGTTTTTTTTTGGGTTGCGTATTGTTAACGTAGAAACGAATGATTTACTAGAGGTGGAAACCTAGAACAAATACTAGTTGGTTGTACTCACTAGAAGCATACCTCAGTCTAGCCTATAACTTCTACATAGATAATATGTATAAGTTGACACACCCCCTAGGCTAGACAAGGGGTGAAACTAAACAAGAAGCAAACAGCTCAGGGCGGCACTACTAGTCCAACCACTGAGGCAGGGGTCTGGAGACCAGTCAGCAAGAATACAACCAAAACTGAAGCAAGCCAGGGTGGCACTACTAGTCCAGCCACTGGAGGTAAGGCCACAAGGCCAGTCTGACAAGCATATATAATAGAGAGTACACAATCAGGATCCTAACAGGGGAGCAGCTATAGGAACAAGACCAAGCTGTACACAGTGCCGCTGATGATCTTTAGGCGCAAGCGCCTTAGTAAAGATATCAGCTGTGTTGGCACCTGAGGCCAAGTGAACTACGCGGGCCTGGCGGCGCTGCTGTAGCTCGCGCAGGAGGAAGTACCGCAGCTGGATATGCTTCGCTCTGCCCTCAAGCCGAGGCTCCTGACACAGGAGTATCATGGCCCTGTTGTCAGCGTACAGGACCGGGGCAGAGCTAGGCCGCTCACCTAAGTCTGTGAGCAAGAAGGTCAGCCAGCGGAGCTCCTGTGCCGCCATGGCACCAGCGTAGATCTCAGCCTCACAGCTAGACTGAGCCACAGACGACGAGCGAGTGGATCTCCAAGAGATAGCACCCGAACCAAGGCTGAAACAGTAGCCCTGCGACGACCTGAGCGTCTCAGCGTCGTCTGCCCAAGAAGCGTCTGTGTGCCCAGTAAGGACCACTGGCCTGCGTCCTCCTAGCACTAACCCCATGCCTGATGTACTAGCAAGATAACGCAAAACCCTCTTAGCGGCAGACCAGTGCTGAGGTCGGTGTCTGCCTGTAGCCACAAAGCGAGCCAGGATGCTGAGAGGGTATGCGAGATCTGGGCGAGTGCAAGTCATCAGGTACATGAGGCAACCCACCAGCTCTGCGTAGGGGCCACTGGGCTCTACTGGCTCCTCAGGAACGGGAGCAGAGAGCCCATGGTCTACGGGTAGAGGTGTGGGCTGTGCGGAGGAGAACTGAAGACCGAACCTCTGAAGGACCTGACGCACCAAGTGTGACTGGGTCAGAGTGATGGTGCGTGCTGCTCTGTCCCTAGAGATCTGCAGGCCAAGATAGCGACGCAGCTCTCCAAGGTCAGTGCAGGTGTGTCTCTTCAGCAGCTCAGCCTTCACAGAGGCCAGTGCGTCCCTGTCAGGAGTAGCGAAGACCAGGTCGTCTACGTAGACAAGGATGTAGAACGGAGTCTGGCCGGAACGCACAAACAGTGAAGGGTCAGCAGAGGACGGAAAGAACTGCAGGTCTGCTAACGTGGCACGTAGCGTGTCGTGCCACTCGCGGGGAGCCTGACGCAGGCCGTAGACCGGGCGCCTGAGAAGCCACTGGGTCCCAGGAGGGAAGGTACCAGTGAAGCCCTGTGGTCGGCGCAGGTAGACCTGCTCGTGTAGGCTGCCCTGAAGAAAGGCAGTAGAGAAGTCGAGAGAGTGAAGCTCGTAGTCACGCTGTGCTGCTACGTGTAGCAGCGCCCGAAGAGTGGTCATCTTCGGGGTCGGGGCGAAGGTCTGGAAGAAGTCAACCCCCTCGCGCTGACTGAAACCTCTGGCCACGTAGCGCGCCTTGAAGACAGGCGGCTCTCCAGGGGGGCGCTTCACCTTGAAGAGCCACCGACCATCGACTACGTTCACCCCAGGCGGGGGAACTGCGTCGACGTAAGTGCCGGTGGATCTCCAAGATGCCATCTCCTGCTCCATGGCAGCTATCCACTGAGAGGCCCAAGGTCCCGAGGTGGCCTCAGCGTAGGTGCGAGGGGTCGGGATGTCGAAGGCGTCTGGGTCACCCTCAGGGACTAACAGCATGGAGCAGAGATGGGGAGCAGCCTCGGAAAGGAAAGCCAGCTCGTACTGCCTGTCCTCTAGGACGTCACTGCCAAGGGCAGGAGCACCCCCGACGGACAGAGGACGGGCAGGGTCAGAGACCAGAGCGGTAGCGTAGTCAAGGCGGCGGGTAGAAGCGAAGTCAGCGACAGCAGCGACAAGCGCGTCAAGGCGCGAGACAGGAACAGCAGGGTCGGTAACAAGAGAGGCAAGGACCCGAGGGACAAGGGGACGAGCAGCACGGAGGTAGTCAGAGAACGGAGGAGGTGCAACAGCAAGGGACGAGGGAGGAGGGGACGGGAGGAGGGGAGGACGAGACGAGTGGGAACGGAGCAACATAGGGTGGGTGGGCAGGACAGGAGAGACGGGACGAGCACGGGAGGGACGGCGAGCCCAAACGTGAGACGGAGGGGTAGGGTCAGGGGACAGCGGAGGAGACACAGGAGGGGAACGAGGAGGAAGACGGGCCGGAGACGAGTCTGGCGGCGGGAACACAGGACCGTAGACAGGGAGGTCAGGAGGCGGTGGGGGAGACACCGGCGCGCGGTCCGGGGAGGGAAGGCCGAGCAGGCGGAGAGCGGAAACCGGCGGCGACGGCTGCTGTGGCGGCGACGACGGCTGGGCCGGAACTCTCGGACCAGCAGAGGCAGAACGACCGTCGGCAGAACACTCATCAGCAGCACCCCCAGAACCAACACCCCAAGAGCGAGAACCCCCTCCAACACCAGCGGCACCCCAGAAGCCGCAGGACGAACACCCTCCTCCACACCAGCACCCCCAGGGGCCGAGAGCAGCGGCGGCAGTGGCGGCGACAGCGGCGACGGCGACGGCGGCGGCAGCGGGGTCGGCGACTGCGACAATGGGGGCGGAGGCACTGGGGAAGGGGACGCGGCAAGGACGGACCGGGGGTACCACCAGAGTCAGCAGACTCCTCAACGGGGACAACCGACGGGAGGGGAGTGACGTGGGAGACACCAGACGGGGCAGGACGAGGCGGGAGAGGGGCAGGGGCTACCGGGGGAGAGGGAGCAAGGAAAAGGGGGGGGGCAACTGGGAGACCTCGGTGAGGGAAGCGGCGGTAGAAGGAGACGGACTCGTCAAAGGTGACGTCACGAGAGTGGAGGAAGCGGTGAGACGGCGGGTGGTAGAAAAGCCAGTCAGACGAGTCCAGGGGGAAGCCGAGGAAGACACAGGGGACAGTGCGGGCAGTGAGTTTGTCCGTGCCAGAGGCACGAACGTGAGCAAGGCAGCCCCAGACGTGGAACGCAGACGCGTCACCGGGGGACCCGGTCCAAAGGAGGGTCGGCGAAACCTGCGGCCGCTGGGAGCGTGGCCACAGGTTAAGCTGGTGAGCCGCGTAGCGAACAGCGAACGGCCACAGAAAATGGGGGGCATCGGCATGGATCATGGAGGTACGGGCGACCTCCATGACCAAGCCGATGCGGCGCTCAGCAACCCCATTCTGCTGTGGCGAGTCCGGCAACGTGTACGACTGGGTGATGCCCTCCGCACGACAGAACTGTCCAAGCCGACCAGAGGCGAACTCGCCGCCACGGTCGGAGTGGAGACACAACACGGGGAGACCGCGGTGGAGACGCGCAGCTACAACCCACGGGAGAAGAACGTCGGGCACGTCGGCCTTCCGCTCCAGGGGAAACACCGTGGTGTAGCGCGTGTAGTCGTCAACGAGCACAAGGAAGTAGCGCTCACCGCGCGGTCCGGGGACGGGGGCAGGGCCCCAAACGTCCAAGTGCAGGGTCTGAAGGGGGGCAGTAGCAGGACGCAGCGAGGAGGAGTGAGGAGCACGGCGGAGCCGACCCTCGACGCAAGGCGTGCACGGTGGCGCAGTCGAGGGAGGAAGGGCAGGGAGCGACGCGGGGAGACCTAAGACAAGACCGTGCTGGGACATGTGACGCAGACGCGGGAGAGCAGGGTGACCTAAGCGGTGGTGCCAGAGAAGGGAGGGGTGAGTGAGGGACCGACACGAGCAAGCTGCAGCGACCTGGGAGGACGCACCAACCGGGGGGGAAGCGGTGTGTAGGGTAAACAGACCGGACACCGGGTCCCGGGGGAACGTCGCAAGGGGGGAACCGGAGACAGCCTCAGAACAGACAGCGAACCGCTCGTGCCCGGGGAACGTGGTGGTGACGCCGAGGTCCTGGAGACAGCCGACACCAACCAGGTTCCTGGAGAACGAGGGAACGTGGAGGCCAGTAAGGGAGCCCGAGGGAACTGCCGGACAGGGAAGGGACGTAGAACTGCGCGCGACGACCGGACCCGCAGAGGGGTCAGCGAGAGAGACAACAGCAGGTGCAGCAAGCGGCGTGAGCGTGGAACGGTCGCGGAAGAAGCAGGCAGAAGCACCAGAGTCAAGAGTGAAGGACAGCGACGCAGTGGCGGAGGCCGCGGACGGAGCCGGTGCAGCGACTAGACTAGGCAACCTAGGCAGTCCTACGCCTGTCGCAGCAGGGGAAGCTAAGCTACACAAGGGTGAAACACCTAAACTAGAGTACACATGGTAGTAAGATCCATCAACACTAGAAGCGTCAGCATACAAAGCATGCAAAGCAGCACCTATCTGATCCATGTCTAACTCAAAGATCGGCACGCCCTGGCGGAGCAGGCTGTGCCAGTCAGGGAGGTCCGGGGCCGGGCCAAAGCGACGACGAAAAAGATCGTCGAGGCGGCGGAAACAGTGGGCGGTCGGGTGCGGGCGGCGGCACAGAGTGCCGCGGAGAGGCCCGGTCTGAAGCTGGTACTGGCAGGTCACAGCACTGGAGCCGCTGGTAGACGCCAAGCTGCGCGGGCCGCCACCACGGCCACCGCCTCCGGAGGTGCCGGGCCAACCAGGCGGGAGACGAGCCCACGGCTGCGGCGGGTGCTGCTGGGACGGCGGCTGCGGCTGGGGCTGGTCCTGCTGCTGCTGGGACTGCTGCTCCTGCCCACCGGTGGTAGTCCCCTCAGGCGGACTACCGTCACCACCACCACGACCACTACCACCTGCGTCACCACCCCTACCTCCCTGGCGGCCACGGCCACCACGACGCGAGCGCTGCTGCGGGTGGACAGCAGCAGCCGTCTCGGTAAGAGGGGTCGCCGTGGCGACCGCAGCCGAAACGTCAGTGAACGTGCACGGGGATGGGGCACAACCGTGAAAGATAGAGACTGCCGGCGCACCGCTCGACTGAGCGATAGTGCGCTGGCGAGTCTCGATCTCAGTGAGGGTGTCGACAAAGGCGGTCAGGGTGAGGTCACCCGGGTGCTGGCTAAGAAAGTGGTCGCGAGCACTAGCGAGGCGGTCTGGCAGGCGCATAGCGATAAAATAGAGCGTCATGCAGAAAGGAGGGGGGAGCGCAGTGAGCTGGGCAGCAGTGCTGGCAGTGCGATAGCGAGTCTCTAGGGCACGCAAATGAGTGGCAAAATCTGCGACAGTAGGGAAGGCAGCCAGGTCTGGGAACAGCATCGGAAAGAGCAAGCGGCCAGCAGAAGCGGAGGCAGGGGTGGAATAGCGAGCAATAACGGCGTCTAAATAAGCTTTGGCCGTTTCAACAGTAGCAAAACGCGAGCGCTCAGACACAGGGAGGGCGTGACTAATAGCAACCTGAGCTACTGCATCGCGTGAGTCCCAGACCGCACAGGCTAGCGCAGCAGTAGAGAAAGCCTCACGGTCATCAGAGGAGGGGTCAGCAGGGAGGGGAGTAGGTGCAGGGGGACGGGGGAGCAAGCCATCAGCATGGACAACCAGAGAGTGGCCATCCTGGCGCTGACCTGTAAGCTGGCGGCGAAGATCGGAGAGCCAGGCGGCGAAGTCAACCGCGTGGCCCTCAGCGTCCAGGCGGAGCACAAAGTCAGCCATCGTGCAGGGTCAGCGGCACAGCTCCTCAGCGACACAGCGGCACAGCAGCACAGCTCCTCAGCGGCACAGGAGCACAGCGGCGCGGGGACACGGCGGCAGCACTCTCCAGTAGGGCAGCAGCTAGGCGTCCCAGCGCAGGCAAGCAGAAGACACAGGGCCCGAGAGGACACGGCAGGCCGAGCAGGGGAGGCGGGCAGGTGCTCTAGGGCCGGGCTGGTGCTGGGAGGGGCCAGGCTGGTGCTGCTGGGGCCGGTCGGGCACGAGGAGGGGCCGGGCAGCGCTGAGGAGAGGCCGGGCGGCGCTAGGAAGGGGCCGGGCGGCACTAGGAGGAGGCCGGGCGGCACTAGGAGGAGGCCGGGCGGCACTAGGAGGAGGCCGAGCGGCACTAGGAGGAGGCCAGGCGGGCGAGCGCTAACAGCAGGCGCGACAGGGGCCAGCGGGCGCGACGGGGCCTAAGGGGCGCGACGGGGCCCAGCGGGCACGACGGGGCCCAGGGGGGGCGCGACGGGGCCGAGGAGGCGCGACGGGGACCAGCGGGCACGACGGGGCCCAGGGGGGCCGCGACGGGGCCTAACGGGCGCGACGGGGCCCAGGGGGGGCGCGACTGGGCCTAGCAGGCGCGACGGGGCCTAGGAAGCGCGAAGGGGCCCAGCGGGCGCGACGGGGCCTAGGAGGGGCGCGACGGGGCCGAACGGGCGCGACGGGGCCCAGAGGGGGGGGACGCGACGGGGCTTAGGAGGCGCGACGATGCCTAGGAGGCACGACGGGGCTCAGCGGGCTCGACGGGGCCCATGGGGGGCGCGACGGGGCCTAGGAGGCGCAACGGGGCCCAGCGGGGGCGAGTTAGGGCCTAGGGGTCGCGACGGGACCCAGTGGGCGCGACGGGGCCCAGGGGGAGCGCGACGGGGCCTAGGAGGCGCGACGGGGCCCAGCGGGCACGACGGGGCCCAGGGGGGGCGCGACGGGGCCTAACGAGCGCGACGGGGCCCAGGGGGGGCGCGACGGGGCCTAGGGGGCGCGACGGGGCCTAGGAGGCGCGACGGGCGGAAGCGGTAGGCGGGGGGATCCTAACCTAAGCGTGATACCATGTTAACGTAGAAACGAATGATTTACTAGAGGTGGAAACCTAGAACAAATACTAGTTGGTTGTACTCACTAGAAGCATACCTCAGTCTAGCCTATAACTTCTACATAGATAATATGTATAAGTTGACACGTATTAGTTTGTTTAGATTGTGAAAGCTTGCTTGGGTCACCTTGGCAAAGGCAGCGTGCTTCATTTCATATGGGCTACAGTACATGGTTCTCGTCCAATAGACTACACCGTCCAATAGGGTGGGTGGGTGGGGAAAACGAAACTGGAACTAGAAATGAAGAACGTGGGTGAGGTCGAATGGCCTCACGTCCCTCTTTTGTAGGCAAAAGAGGGTGAGTAGCGCTTCGACGCTGACCTTGCTGCGTTGGCCCTCGCTACACTTTCACAATACAATTTTTTTAGAAAGTGTTACACGCTTTCAAAAAAATACATATTGAGAAAGCTTGCTTGGGTCACCTTGGCAAAGGCAGCGTGCTTCATTTCATATGGGTCTTCTGAGGCATGTGAAGCAGGGGCTGGCGGTGTCGCTCGATGGAGAGCTGGTGATGTCTGGGCGATGGAGCGGCGGACGCGTCTTGGATGCGTGTGGATTCCGCAAGGAGCTGGTCCTGCGCAATGGTGACGTAGAGATCTTTGGCCGTATCGCTACGCCAGCGACCGAGTCGCTTGAAGAGCCGGTCAGGGATCCCCAAGTTAGCTGCCGCAGTTGCGGCGCCCTTGCGGAAGGAGTGAGTGCCGAGGTGTCTGTTGTCAAGCCCAGCCTTGGCGAAGGCTTCGAGGCACCAGTTGCGGATGGTTGTGTATGACGGAGCGCTGTCGTGAGGGGTTGCCCTGCCGCTGGTGCCAAAGACACGGATCAGAGGTCCATGCGGGGTGGTGGGGTGTCCCGCGAGTTGCAGAAACCGCTGGGTGCAACGGACTGGGCAGTAGGGCCTTTGATTGGCCTACACTAGGGCTGGCCCTCTGCCCCTAAGGGGTGGGCCCAATGGCTTACGCACACACCGGGTGCCTTGCGCCTTGCGCCACTTGCGCAAGCGCCCATGGCCCGACCCCTACACCACTGGTGCGGGTCCTTGGCCACCATGCCCAATCGCCGGGCAGCCGCTGGCCACATGCCCCGGCTGGCCACAGCGGAAGCAAGTGCCTCGGAAGCCACGGAATTCTCCCGTAGGCGGCGGACCACGCTTTGGCACGAACGGCATGGGCATGCGGCCGCCTCCGCGATTTCCACGAGCAAATCCGCCCTCGGCGCGGTCCATTGCGGCCACGTCAGCGACGGCCTGCTTGAAAGGCCTTGAGGTAAGCAAACTCTTCTGCTGGTACAGCTTGAAACGCTTGGCCGTGCGGAAGTCGGAGGCGTCTTCGACTTGGAGAACTTCGAAGCGTCGTGATATGAGGGCGAGCGCGTCGGCGAGGAATTCGAGGCCGCCCGGCGCGTCGCCGTGCTGCACCTTGAACTCGGCGTGCTTCAGGTATGCCCGAAGGTCCTCCAGGACTTCTGCTAGCTCGCGTACGGCCGCGTTGAGGAAAGACGCCGCCGAGAGGGTGGTGTGAGTGGTCGGGAGTGGTGGGAGATGCTCTATGGGAATTGAATTTGCAGCAGTGCCGGGGACCTCACCAGCGTCATTGTCGGAGTCGTCGCTGTCGTTGTCGGCCGCCGGGGCAGGCGGGATGCTGGCGATGGCGTCCTTAGCGAGGCGTGGCGTCTTGGTTCCGCGTGTGGCCTTTTCTGTTTTTGCAGGTTCTTTTTTAGCAGATTCAGAAGCAGCAGGTTGAGCAGTTTCGGCGGCCGTAACACTCGTCGCCTGCTGCTGTAACAGCGTCAACAGCGCGTTGACCTGCGCAGGGGTCAACGCCGGGGTCAATGTCGGGGTGGGCGGCACGTCAGACGAGGCAGCCGCGCGCCCCCTTTTGCGCTGGCGAGAGGGGCCCGCCACTTGCGGGGCTGGCGCGTGCTGCTGCTCGGCGTCAGGCGCGAGTGGCTGGCTCTGCCCAGCCACTTGCGCGTGTGGCTCAGAAGGGGGCGGGGGCGCGTCAGCAAGCTGACTGTTGACCTCGCCCCCTCCCAGCAGAACGTCAACCCCAGTTGGGGCGGTTGCCCCTTCTTCTGCCCGACGCTTGTTGCGCCGGTCGCCCGCAATTTCCGGGGCTTGGCGAGTAGACTCGGAATTGGGGTGGCCGGTGGCGACGTTGGACTCGCCGCGATTATTCATAGTCGGAGCCATGACGGATCGGTGAAACTTAAAAAATGTCAGAGAGAAGAGTTGAGGGAGACTCGCCGCGAGGCAAAGTTCTAGTCTTAGCCAGCTTGAACGGGAGAAAAGCTAGAGCGGGAAGGTTGACTGAGCCGTTTGAAAAATGAGAGACGTGGGTGGAGGTAAATGAGCTCCAACCCACGTATATGTAGTTGGAGAAGGGCGAGTAGCGCGCTTCGACGATGCCCAACGCTTCAGTACAATCAGCTTCGCTTTCACAATACACAATTTTTGAAAAACACTTCATGTGTTAAAAATTATAATATTGTGAAAGCTTGCTTGGGTCACCTTGGCAAAGGCAGCGTGCTTCATTTCATATGGGTCTTCTGAGGCATGTGAAGCAGGGGCTGGCGGTGTCGCTCGATGGAGAGCTGGTGATGTCTGGGCGATGGAGCGGCGGACGCGTCTTGGATGCGTGTGGATGCCGCAAGGAGCTGGTCCTGCGCAATGGTGACGTAGAGATCTTTGGCCGTATCGCTACGCCAGCGACCGAGTTGCTTGAAGAGCCGGTCAGGGATCCCCAAGTTAGCTGCCGCAGTTGCGGCGCCCTTGCGGAAGGAGTGAGTGCCGAGGTGTCTGTTGTCAAGCCCAGCCTTGGCGAAGGCTTCGAGGCACCAGTTGCGGATGGTTGTGTATGACGGAGCGCTGTCGTGAGGGGTTGCCCTGCCGCTGGTGCCAAAGACACGGATCAGAGGTCCATGCGGGGTGGTGGGGTGTCCCGCGAGTTGCAGAAACCGCTGGGTGCAACGGACTGGGCAGTAAGGCCCAGTTGTGGGAGCAACGGGGATCCATGAGCCCTTGCCGTCTTGATCCGTCTTGGAGTGCGGGATTAGGATCCACATAGACTCCTCGTCGAAGTGGATGTCGTTCCACTGGATGGAGACGAGGTCGGAGTAGCGGAGAAATGCCGCGAACATGAGGAGTGGGATCAGTCCTTTCTGATATTCTGCCGGGCTGCTCGACTCAAGGAAGGGGTGTGCCATGGCGTGCACCTGGTGGAGCGACAAGGGTTCCTTCGTCCTGGTGGTGCACGGGCCGTGGCGTTTGGAGAATTCACGAACTTGTGAAGTGAAAGGCCCGCTAGTGGGAGAGGGTTCTCCGGTCATCCGATGTGCAAATGCGACGGCGGAGCACGTAAGGGATATGGCGGATACTGTGGCCTGATTGTTGAGGGCATAGACAAGGTAGAGCGCTAGAGTAGTGTCTGTGGCAGGCAGGTAGCTCAGCTTGACCTTCGTGCAAAAGGAGCGGAACTTGAGCCAATACGGCTCGTAGGTCCTTATAGTGGATGGCGCGCGGACATGACTGATTACCCGAAGTAGCTGTGTCTGTAGTTTTGATAATAAGCCTGAAATACAGAGAGCCCAGGCACGGTGGGGTTATATTTTATATGTCACATGCAACGCAATGATCGGGCTATTGGGAAAAGCGAGACCAGCAAAGGCGAGTGAGTGTGTGCCTGGGGATAGGCATTGGCTGCCTTGAGTGAGGGGAATATGTGCCTTTACTTCTCGTGCCCAGGTTCGTGGTGCTGGCTGCAGTAGGGGCCACCAAGAGGCTCCTGGCCACTCGGGAATGACCAACGTCAACTCGGCGTGGGTGCGTTGGGCGTGGCGCAGAGTAGCCGGGATGAGGTGGGGGGGGGGGAAACGCGAAGCCGCGTTCATCATGCCAGCTGAACGAGAAGGCGTCAACTGCTGTGGCCTTGGGGTGAGGAATCTTGGAGCAGAAGCGCCCCAGTTGAGCGTTGTGAACATTCGCGAATAGGTCGACAGAGTGAGGCCCCAGGCGGCGGTCGAGGAGTCGGAACCATGCGGATTTGAGTGAGTAATCATCTCGGTCCTGGACTTTGGAGAGTTCGTCGGCGTGCGCGTTCAGCTCCCGGGGAATCCATTCGATGGCAAGGCGTGTCCGGTTTTTTAAGCAAAGGTCGATGATCGCCTGGCAAAGTAGTGTGAGTGCAGGGATGCTGGAGCCGCCTTTGCGCAGTATGAATACAACCCCCTGGTTGTCCACACGAACTAACACGTGCCGTTTGGAGATGTGGGTGTCAAAGGTTCTTAGTGCCCACAGTACGCCTTCGAGTTCCCTTCGGGTGCTGGAAGTGTGTAGGAGGTCTTCTGGCATGCGGGAGCTTGCTTCTATTGGGATCCCAGGGAGCGGCGTGAGGATGGCACCCCAACTGTGGGCGCTTGCATCCACGTGGATGACGGCGTCGAACTGGTGACTGAGATGAAATGGGGCGCCGTTAAATTTGTCGAATTGCGCCAGCCAGAAACATAGCTCGTCCACCGCTGCCGGGTGCAGGAGGACCTTGGAGTGCCAGGACGTTGCGTCGGCAATAAGTCGCAGGAGTTCGTGGCTGAATGCTCGTGCCGTCGCGCCCAGTGCTAGGGCCATAGAGGCGAGCATGCCTGTAACTCTTGCGAGGGATCGAACGGGAATATGCCTTCCTGATTGTCCTTGGGTTATCAAGGCCTCAAGCGTGGTTAAGAGTTGAGCCCTTCGCTCGAGTCCGACGGAGAACGTGCCGCGGGTGGAGTCGATTTCCAATCCGAGGAAGCGAAGCTGACGCGAGGGGTGGAGGTTCGATTTTTTGCCGTTAATGACGAAGCCAGCTGCGTTAAGGTCCTGGAGGACTGTCGTACGAGTCGAGCACGCTTGCTGGTGGGAATCGCAGAGAAATAATAGGTCGTCAACATACGGGACCACTCGAACGCCGCTTGCCCGCCATCGCTTGGCAAGTTGTTTAATTAGTTGGGTGAAAACGAATGGAGCAGTTGCAAGGCCGAACGGCAGTGACCGAAAGGAGTAGTAGATGCCTTCGAACTGGAAGCCCAAAAACTGCCAACACGAAGGGTGAATCTCGACATGATGGTATCCAGATTTCAGGTCGATGGAAAACACCCAGTCATCTCGGCGGATGAGCTCGGCTACACGATTCAGACCCTCGTACTTGAACTTGGGGGCTTCAAGGTGGGTGTTCACTTTCCGCAGGTCAAGGATGAGGCGGCATTTGTCGCGTTGCTTCACGACGTTCAGTGGGCTGACACATGTTAGTGTGTCTCTCTTCTCGATCACTGCAGCAGCGCCGGTCACTACAAGATCGCGAATTGTGACGCGAGTAAAGTCGAGGTGCGTGCAGACTCCGGCATGGTTGTTGTCCTCGAAGGGTGTGGGGGCTGTATTCTTCCAGGGCAGCCAATACCCTTTAGCGATGACGGAGAGGATAAAGCTACTGTCACACCAGGAGCACCACCAGTGCAAGGCATGCCGCAGTCGACTGCGCATGATGGTCACGTCCCTGTCTGTAGTTGCGAGCTCGTAGGGATCGCATTCCTCTCGTGGCCACCCACTTGGGATCTCTGCATTATACGAGGTTATAAACATGGGTTCTTAGATGGGAATAAGATCCTGTGCTCGTGAGCAGGTGCACGATGCGGGGCAAGTGTAGACGGGGCATGACATGCTCGGACCGCACGGCCACTGCCGTGTTAGGTGCTTGCAAGGTGCAAGGGGTACTCGTCTCTCTATCCGCCTTCTCTTTCTCTGTCGCTCTCTCTCTCTCTCTCTCTCTCTCTCTCTCTCTCTCTCTCTCTCTCTCTCTCTCTCTCTCTCTCTATCTCTTTCCCTCTCTCTCTCTCTCTCTCTCTCTCTCTCTCTCTCTCTCTCTCTCTCTCCTCCCTCTTTCTCTCTCTCTCTCTCCCCCTCTCTCTCTCACTCTCTCCCTCTTTCTCTCTCTCTCTCTCACTCTCTCTCTCTCTCTCTCTCTCTCTCTCTCTCTCTCTCTCTCTCTCTCTCTCTCTCTCTCTCTCTCTCTCTCTCTCTCTCTCTCTCTCTCTCTCTCTCTCTCTCTCTCTCTCTCTCCCTCTCTCTCTCTCTCTTTCTCTCTCTCGCTTGCTATTTCTCTCTCTCTCCATCTCTTGATCTCCCTCTTTCCCTCTTTCCTTTGCGTGCGAAGACATCACGTGCTGTGTTCGTACGTGAACATTTTTTAAGCGCGTTGGTGCTCGTTGGTGGTTGGCTTACATTTCTTCCTCCTCCTTCTTTTGCTCTCCTTGTTTGGGCCACTCTTTGTGTTAGCTTTGAGCTCCTAGACTCTGTCCTTGGCTCTTAAATAGTGCATCTCCGAGTGCGTGCGTGCGCACCATTTTGTTGGGTGCCGAGCGTGCCTCCATGGTTAGCTCTCGGGGCGTGTTGCGTGGTCGGCAAAGAAAAAAGTGAGGGGTCGGAGGCTATGCTCAAGGCTGACCAGCCATGTTGACTGGGTTTTGTAGCCCCCTCCCTCCCCCCAACCCCCTCAAGGGTTTTTTTTTTTTTTTTTTTTTTTGGAAGAAAACGGATGGCCGTGACACGGTCGAGCCTTTAATTCAATCATAGGAATTATTACAAGCCTAGGCCTATCAGCCTTTGCTGTCCCCAAGGGCCACCCTAGTCAGCGAAGACTCCTTGCCTTTGGCAAAAGGCTGGCCACCAGCCATGCACCTACCGTGCAACCCACTATGCGTCTTGCATGTGGGAGAGGGCGCCGCCCTATCAACCGCTCACACCACCGGTGAGGGACCTTGCGCACCACGCCCTCCCATGTGGCATGCATTGGCCATGTGGCCTGGCTGGCCACAGCAAAAGCAGACTCCCTTGAAGCGCGGCTGCTGGCACGTAGCAGGGGGGGAGCCCTTGATGTCCGAGTCCGTGTCGCGACCACCGGGACGGCCGCCGCGCGTATAGCCGAGGCGTGCACGCTTGAGCGCTGCCACATCCGCGACCGCCAGCTTGTAGGAGCGGGATGTCAGGACACTTTTGGACTGATAGAGCTGGAACCGGTCGGCGGCCTCGAAACCGGCTTCGTCCGCAACGAGAAGGACTTGGAAACGCTTATTAATAAGTATTTCGATATCCTTTACGTTGTTGAGTGCGCCGACGACGTCGCCGTGCTGCAGCTTGAAGTCGATATGCTTCAGGTACGCTTCGATGGCAGTGAAGACCTCGGCCTGGTCGCGTACGCCCTTGCGCATGAAGGTAGTAGCTGCGGGCGTGGGACCAAGGGGGGAAGGGGGGGGCGGGTGCGAGGATGCGACGACGAGCAATGTTGGCGGGACCCTCACCATCGTCATTTTCGGAGTCGTCGCTATCATCGGGGTTGTCAGCGGGTGCGGGAGTTGGTGCCGGGGGCTGGTCGTCGGCGCGGGGAGCCTTGGGCGTGCGAGGATGGGTAGCCATTTCTTTCTTTTTGTTAAAATTGGTCGTAGGTGCAGCGTTATCGGATGAGGTTCCGACTGTAACAGCAGGAGCTTGCTGCTGTAACAGCGCCAAAAGCGCTTGCAGCTGGTGCGCAGTCAAGGCGGGGGCGGCGGCGGTTGGCGCGGGGTCGGCGGCAGGCGCGTGCTGGGTGGTGGGGCCCGCCTGGCCTGCAGGCGACGCGCCTCGGGCTGGCGCGTGGACTTCCGTTGCCTGCACGCGCGGCTGCAAAGCAGCCGCGCGAGTTTCTTTTGGAGCAGCGTGACTGCCGCCGAGCAGAATCTCGACTGCCGAGGGGCCCTCGCCAAAATTGTCCTCAGCAGGACGTTTCTGACGTCGGTCGGTTCCCCCGGGCGAAGTTCCGAGCGCCTGGGCGTTAGCGGGGGTAGAAATGTTATTCACCGCGCGAGCCGGAGCAGAATTGGCGGAAGTCATCGCGGTAATATTGTGCTGCAGAATGTCGGTGAGGAGCGTTGTCGGAGCTTTGAAGCGCGGAAGAGACTGGGTTTTCGCCAGCTTGGGCGAGAATAAGAAGACTAGAACTAGGACGAGAACTGGAAAACGAAACTGGAACTAGAAATGAAGAACGTGGGTGAGGTCGAATGGCCTCACGTCCCTCTTTTGTAGGCAAAAGAGGGTGAGTAGCGCTTCGACGCTGACCTTGCTGCGTTGGCCCTCGCTACACTTTCACAATACAAATTTTTTAGAAAGTGTTACACGCTTTCAAAAAATTACATATCTTGACTGTCAAGTTGCAGTTTGACTGTGCTGTTTGCCGGAACCACAGGCAAAGAACGTTCACTGTAGTCGAAATTTGCTAAACATTGACTGTTTATTTGCATGCTGTCAAGCGAAGGCAAGAACGTTCGCTGTACACTTTTTATTATATTTGGTCTCACAGTTTTTACACGCGTCTCAAACCTGTAAGCAGGAAATAGTAAAACACAAGGCTCGACGTGAATTGTCGGATGACGTATGCCTAAATTTTTCCCGTTCACAACTCAAGTTAGTATTTCCCCCCCACCTTTTTCTTTTCATTTGGGTTGTGCATAAAACTTTTGTGAGTAAAATACTACAAGATTAATGTAGCATGTAATATTACTAACTACTGCAATAATTTACGGTTTCATATAA